TCCCCATTCTTCCCCCCATTCTCCCCCATTGCTCCCCATTCTTCCCCCCATACTCCCGCATTGCTCCCCATTCTTCCCCCCATACTCCCGCATTGCTCCCCATTCTTCCCCCCATTCTCCCCATTGCTCCCCATTCTTCCCCCCATACTCCCGCATTGCTCCCCATTCTTCCCCCCATACTCCCGCATTGCTCCCCATTCTTCCCCCCATGCTCCCGCATTGCTCCCCATTCTTCCCCCATTCTCCCGCATTGCTCCCCATTCTTCCCCCCATACTCCCGCATTGCTCCCCATTCTTCCCCCCATACTCCCGCATTGCTCCCCATTCTTCCCCCCATACTCCCGCATTGCTCCCCATTCTTCCCCCCATTCTCCCGCATTGCTCCCCATTCTTCCCCCCATACTCCCGCATTGCTCCCCATTCTTCCCCCCATACTCCCGCATTGCTCCCCATTCTTCCCCCCATGCTCCCGCATTGCTCCCCATTCTTCCCCCCATGCTCCCGCATTGCTCCCCATTCTTCCCCCCATTCTCCCGCATTGCTCCCCATTCTTCCCCCCATACTCCCGCATTGCTCCCCATTCTTCCCCCCATACTCCCGCATTGCTCCCCATTCTTCCCCCCATACTCCCGCATTGCTCCCCATTCTTCCCCCATACTCCCGCATTGCTCCCCATTCTTCCCCCCATACTCCCGCATTGCTCCCCATTCTTCCCCCCATTCTCCCGCATTGCTCCCCATTCTTCCCCCCATACTCCCGCATTGCTCCCCATTCTTCCCCCCATACTCCCGCATTGCTCCCCATTCTTCCCCCCATTCTCCCGCATTGCTCCCCATTCTTCCCCCCATTCTCCCGCATTGCTCCCCATTCTTCCCCCCATTCTCCCGCATTGCTCCCCATTCTTCCCCCCATACTCCCGCATTGCTCCCCATTCTTCCCCCCATTCTCCCGCATTGCTCCCCATTCTTCCCCCCATACTCCCGCATTGCTCCCCATTCTTCCCCCCATTCTCCCGCATTGCTCCCCATTCTTCCCCCCATACTCCCGCATTGCTCCCCATTCTTCCCCCCATTCTCCCGCATTGCTCCCCATTCTTCCCCCCATCCTCCCGCATTGCTCCCCATTCTTCCCCCCATGCTCCCACATTGCTCCCCATTCTTCCCCCCATTCTCCCGCATTGCTCCCCATTCTTCCCCCCATACTCCCGCATTGCTCCCCATTCTCCCCCCATACTCCCGCATTGCTCCCCATTCTTCCCCCCATACTCCCGCATTGCTCCCCATTCTTCCCCCCATACTCCCGCATTGCTCCCCATTCTTCCCCCCATACTCCCGCATTGCTCCCCATTCTTCCCCCCATACTCCCGCATTGCTCCCCATTCTTCCCCCCATACTCCCGCATTGCTCCCCATTCTTCCCCCCATACTCCCGCATTGCTCCCCATTCTTCCCCCCATGCTCCCGCATTGCTCCCCATTCTTCCCCCCATTCTCCCGCATTGCTCCCCATTCTTCCCCCCATACTCCCGCATTGCTCCCCATTCTTCCCCCCATACTCCCGCATTGCTCCCCATTCTTCCCCCCATACTCCCGCATTGCTCCCCATTCTTCCCCCCATTCTCCCGCATTGCTCCCCATTCTTCCCCCCCATACTCCCGCATTGCTCCCCATTCTTCCCCCCATACTCCCGCATTGCTCCCCATTCTTCCCCCATTCTCCCGCATTGCTCCCCATTCTTCCCCCCATACTCCCGCATTGCTCCCCATTCTTCCCCCCATTCTCCCGCATTGCTCCCCATTCTTCCCCCCATTCTCCCGCATTGCTCCCCATTCTTCCCCCCATACTCCCGCATTGCTCCCCATTCTTCCCCCCATTCTCCCGCATTGCTCCCCATTCTTCCCCCCATTCTCCCGCATTGCTCCCCATTCTTCCCCCCATACTCCCGCATTGCTCCCCATTCTTCCCCCCATTCTCCCGCATTGCTCCCCATTCTTCCCCCCATTCTCCCGCATTGCTCCCCATTCTTCCCCCCATGCTCCCGCATTGCTCCCCATTCTTCCCCCCATTCTCCCGCATTGCTCCCCATTCTTCCCCCATACTCCCGCATTGCTCCCCATTCTTCCCCCCATGCTCCCGCATTGCTCCCCATTCTTCCCCCCATACTCCCGCATTGCTCCCCATTCTTCCCCCATTCTCCCGCATTGCTCCCCATTCTTCCCCCCATTCTCCCGCATTGCTCCCCATTCTTCCCCCCATTCTCCCGCATTGCTCCCCATTCTTCCCCCCATTCTCCCGCATTGCTCCCCATTCTTCCCCCCATACTCCCGCATTGCTCCCCATTCTTCCCCCCATTCTCCCGCATTGCTCCCCATTCTTCCCCCCATACTCCCGCATTGCTCCCCATTCTTCCCCCCATTCTCCCGCATTGCTCCCCATTCTTCCCCCCATACTCCCGCATTGCTCCCCATTCTTCCCCCCATTCTCCCGCATTGCTCCCCATTCTTCCCCCCATCCTCCCGCATTGCTCCCCATTCTTCCCCCCATGCTCCCACATTGCTCCCCATTCTTCCCCCCATTCTCCCGCATTGCTCCCCATTCTTCCCCCCATACTCCCGCATTGCTCCCCATTCCTCCCCCCATACTCCCGCATTGCTCCCCATTCTTCCCCCCATACTCCCGCATTGCTCCCCATTCTTCCCCCCATACTCCCGCATTGCTCCCCATTCTTCCCCCCATACTCCCGCATTGCTCCCCATTCTTCCCCCCATACTCCCGCATTGCTCCCCATTCTTCCCCCCATACTCCCGCATTGCTCCCCATTCTTCCCCCCATGCTCCCGCATTGCTCCCCATTCTTCCCCCCATTCTCCCGCATTGCTCCCCATTCTTCCCCCCATACTCCCGCATTGCTCCCCATTCTTCCCCCCATACTCCCGCATTGCTCCCCATTCTTCCCCCCATACTCCCGCATTGCTCCCCATTCTTCCCCCCATTCTCCCGCATTGCTCCCCATTCTTCCCCCCCATACTCCCGCATTGCTCCCCATTCTTCCCCCCATACTCCCGCATTGCTCCCCATTCTTCCCCCCATTCTCCCGCATTGCTCCCCATTCTTCCCCCCATACTCCCGCATTGCTCCCCATTCTTCCCCCCATTCTCCCGCATTGCTCCCCATTCTTCCCCCCATTCTCCCGCATTGCTCCCCATTCTTCCCCCCATACTCCCGCATTGCTCCCCATTCTTCCCCCCATTCTCCCGCATTGCTCCCCATTCTTCCCCCCATTCTCCCGCATTGCTCCCCATTCTTCCCCCCATACTCCCGCATTGCTCCCCATTCTTCCCCCCATTCTCCCGCATTGCTCCCCATTCTTCCCCCCATTCTCCCGCATTGCTCCCCATTCTTCCCCCCATGCTCCCGCATTGCTCCCCATTCTTCCCCCCATTCTCCCGCATTGCTCCCCATTCTTCCCCCCATACTCCCGCATTGCTCCCCATTCTTCCCCCCATGCTCCCGCATTGCTCCCCATTCTTCCCCCCATACTCCCGCATTGCTCCCCATTCTTCCCCCCATTCTCCCGCATTGCTCCCCATTCTTCCCCCATTCTCCCGCATTGCTCCCCATTCTTCCCCCCATTCTCCCGCATTGCTCCCCATTCTTCCCCCCATACTCCCGCATTGCTCCCCATTCTTCCCCCCATTCTCCCGCATTGCTCCCCATTCTTCCCCCCATTCTCCCGCATTGCTCCCCATTCTTCCCCCATGCTCCCTCGTTGCTCCCCATTCTTCCCCCCATGCTCCCGCATTGCTCCCCATTCTTCCCCCCATTCTCCCGCATTGCTCCCCATTCTTCCCCCCATACTCCCGCATTGCTCCCCATTCTTCCCCCCATACTCCCGCATTGCTCCCCATTCTTCCCCCCATACTCCCGCATTGCTCCCCATTCTTCCCCCCATGCTCCCTCGTTGCTCCCCATTCTTCCCCCCATACTCCCGCATTGCTCCCCATTCTTCCCCCCATACTCCCGCATTGCTCCCCATTCTTCCCCCCATTCTCCCGCATTGCTCCCCATTCTTCCCCCCATGCTCCCTCGTTGCTCCCCATTCTTCCCCCCATTCTCCCTCGTTGCTCCCCATTCTTCCCCCCATGCTCCCGCATTGCTCCCCATTCTTCCCCCCATACTCCCGCATTGCTCCCCATTCTTCCCCCCATTCTCCCGCATTGCTCCCCATTCTTCCCCCCATTCTCCCGCATTGCTCCCCATTCGTCCCCCCATACTCCCGCATTGCTCCCCATTCTTCCCCCCATTCTCCCGCATTGCTCCCCATTCTTCCCCCCATACTCCCGCATTGCTCCCCATTCTTCCCCCCATTCTCCCGCATTGCTCCCCATTCTTCCCCCATTCTCCCGCATTGCTCCCCATTCGTCCCCCCATACTCCCGCATTGCTCCCCATTCTTCCCCCCATTCTCCCGCATTGCTCCCCATTCTTCCCCCCATACTCCCGCATTGCTCCCCATTCTTCCCCCCATACTCTCGCATTGCTCCCCATTCTTCCCCCCATGCTCCCTCGTTGCTCCCCATTCTTCCCCCCATACTCCCGCATTGCTCCCCATTCTTCCCCCCATACTCCCGCATTGCTCCCCATTCTTCCCCCCATTCTCCCGCATTGCTCCCCATTCTTCCCCCCATGCTCCCTCGTTGCTCCCCATTCTTCCCCCCATTCTCCCGCATTGCTCCCCATTCTTCCCCCCATGCTCCCGCATTGCTCCCCATTCTTCCCCCCATGCTCCCGCATTGCTCCCCATTCTTCCCCCCATGCTCCCGCATTGCTCCCCATTCTTCCCCCCATTCTCCCGCATTGCTCCCCATTCTTCCCCCCATACTCCCGCATTGCTCCCCATTCTTCCCCCCATGCTCCCTCGTTGCTCTTCCAACCTCCCTAACGCTCCTTCAATGAACACTCAACGCTCCTCCGTGGTGCCCCTCTGCGTGTGTGTCTCATGCAGCTGCGTACAACTCCTGCTTGAAGTGGGAGCTCAGCCCGACGCCCGGGACAAAGTGGGAGTGACGCCTCTTATTGCAGCTGTAAGTGGACTCTAGTTAGCAAAACTTGAATTCCGAATCTCATGCTTATCTTCGTTTTGATTGGCTACCTGTCTCAGAGTTGCTGTCGCGACTTCTGAGTCAACTCAGAAGCCTCACGTGTCATGAACTCAGAAGCCTCACGTGTCATGTGTCTCTTCCGCCCTTTTCACAGGCATACAACGGGCATGAAGAGGCTCTCTCAGCGCTCGTGCGCCATGGAGCTGGTGTCGATGCGAGGTCGCATGGAGGCGTCACGCCCCTCATTGCTGCTGCTGAGGGCCGCCATGCACGCTGCATCCACCTGCTTGTCCAGGTAACCATTCCAGGGGCTCTGGATAGCATGAGTTGTGGGAGTAGGCTGTCTGTGATACACAGAAAAAATGGCAGTATGGATGCCTGACGCCCCTTATTGCTGCTGCAGAGGGCCAACACACATGCTGGCCTTTGGAGGGCAAGAGTCGTGAGTGAGATGTATTGAGACAGGATGTGTGAGTGATGAGAAAAGCATGCCATGCCAGGCTGCATCCAGGCGTCACACCCCTCATTTCTGCTCTTCAGTTCTGGCATGCATGCATACTGGATCCAAGCGTGTTTTGAGACGTCTCAAAACACATCCCTCATTTCTGCTCTTCAGGTTTGGTATGCATGTATACTGGATCCACCTGCTCATCCAGGTGAGAGCAGCAACTGTCCATGTGTTTATGGGGGACTGTGGAAGATACAAGCTGAGTAATGAACCTCCTGAAGACACAAGCTATGAGTAGTGGGATAGGAGCAAACGTGAATGCCAAAACAGCACTGATGCATGCAGTGGGGCGGGCCTCAGCTGGATGGTGGCTGAACAGTGAATAAGGACCCATATCCCCTCTCCTCACTCCTCGTCTCCCAAGCAGGCAGGCGCAGACGTGAATGCGCGCACGTCAGAGGGCAAGACAGCACTGATGCATGCAGTGGGGCGCAGCTCAGTGCCGGCAACAGAGGCGCTGCTGGCAGGAGGCGCGGACGTGAGTGCTGTGGATGGAGAAGGCCTGTCTGCTCTGCACCACGGCGCTCGCCTTGATGCTGCTGACTGCGTGTAAGTCCTGTTCCTGTGTAAGAATGCATGTTCTTTAGTCACTTTTAGACTTGACGTTGCTGGCAGGAGGCGCTGACGTCGCTGCTGTTGATGGCGAGAGCTTGTTTGCACTGCACCATGGTTCTCACCTCGATGCTGCCGACTGTGTGCTATCCACCCGCCTCAGGGTTGTGCAGAGGCTGTTAGACACTTCGATGCGCACAGAGCGAGACTTCAACATGGGTGACCGGGGGGAGACAGGGGGGTGAACTGCCGCAAGCTCTGGCAATCAGCTTCTGTGCGTCAGGGGCGTGAGGTGCAAGCAGGATTATTCATGGCACCTAAGTTGTTATCCCTGTCTCCCGCATGTCTCGATCGTCTGTTGCAGTGAGCTGCTGTGCGCCAGGGGTGTGAGCATGACCAGGAGGTGCAAGAAGGGCATCATTACCAATCTGTGAATCACCGCTATTTCTGAATCTCGTTAGTTGTTGTGTGCCCCCCCCCTGCAGTGAGCTGCTGTGCGCCAGGGTGCGAGCATGACCAGGAGGTGCAAGAAGGGGGGAAGAGCAAGATCAAGGCTTCGCCCCCTCAGTACCCTTCCCTTTCTCTTGTCTGTTTCGTGTTCCTTCCTACCCTGCAGTGAGCTGCTGTGCGCCAAGGGCGCGAGCATGACCAAGAGGTGCAAGAAGGGCCGCACTGCTCTCATGGACGCACCCAAAGGCTCCGCCTCTGCTGCCATCCTGGTGAGTGGTTGATTGATCCTGCTGTGCAGTCTCGATTGTGAGTCAACTCGGATGTCATCCAAGGCCTCTTCGCTTAGTTGTTGCGATCGCGGTGAGTGGTGAATCAATTCTGCAGCGCAGACTTAGTTGGGAGTCGACTCTAACATCACTCGCAGGCTCTTGATCTTTGCTGGGATTCGAGTTGCTGATCCTGCAGCACTCTCCCACACTTATTCTACATTGTTTCCACTGTTTTCGTTCCCTCTTACTTAGAGGGACCGGACCCGCTGCAGGGATATGGGCAGCCCTAGAGGCAGTGAGGCTGTTAATGGATAACCATTCATCCCAACCATGGGCCCGTCTGCGTGTCTGTGTGTATTCGCATCGGGAATGGGTGCAGGAGAAGAAGTGGAAGGCTTTGGTAGAGGAGGTGGCGAGGCGGCAACTGGAGCTTCTAGAGCTGTTCGCTGATGATGCCTCTAATGCCGCCTCCTCCAAGCCCCACACAATCGCACCAGCAGGCGCACTAGAACTACCCAGCCAGACTTTTGAGGCGCCTGAAAAGACTACCCAGCCAGCTCAAACCAATCATCTGTCTGTCTGTCTGTCTGTCCGTGCGTGGGGTTTGATTGCAGGAGGAGAAGTGGAAGGCTTTGGAGGAGGAGGTAGCGAGGCGGCAATTGGAACTTTTGGAGCTTTTCGCTGATGATGCCCATGATGCTGCCGCCTCCAAGCCAAACGCACCCGTAGCAGCAGGCGCCAAGAGCGGCAAGGACAAGAAGAAGGCCGGGAAAGGCAAGAGCAAGACTCCCAAGGGGATAGCCTCCCTGACCAGCAAACTGCAGGGGCTGGCGGAAGGGCCAGGCTCGGCGGCAGGCTCGGCAGCAGGTTTGGCTGCAGGTTCGGTGGGGTCTGCAGGGTTGGTGGGTGATGTGCAGAATCTGGTGGTTAAGACCCCGGAATCGTCCAGCCGACCCAGTATGTCCCCTGTGAGTTCTGTCCTGGACTTTGGTCAGACCACTGATAGCTCTGGCATGAGCACTGCAGAAGACGAGGACGGGGAAGGGGAGGGGGAGGATGGGGAGAGCGAGTATGACACTCAGGATATTTTTGAAATCATGGCGGCTGCTAGCAAGAAGGGCTCTGGTGGGGTTGGCAGGGTTAGTGGCGGGGTTGGGTCTGGTGCTGGGGTTGCGGAGGGTAGTGATGGGTTTATTCCGGTGGGGAGCGGTGAGAAGGCTCCGAACAGAGTGAGTGAGGTGAGCGGGTGGCTGTCTGGGGGCAGCTACAGCAGGAAGGTTGCAGGCGAGGCTACAGCATCAGATTCAGCAGCAGTGGTGAAGAAGACTGAAGGCCCGGCAAATGCGTCTTATGCTGCGAGGGTCGCGCACAAGAAGAGCCCTCCTGCGGTTCCGCTGAGCCTCACACAGCAGCAGCAGCAGTCCAAGGGCAAAGCCACCCTGACCAAGCCAGTCAAAGCATCAGTACCTGCTGTTTCCCAACCGCAGCAGGCACAGCAGAAGCTTTCTCCTCCAGCAGCAGCAGCAGCAGCGCATGCAGGAGCCTCACCTTGGATCCGCGCCCTTGTGGGAGGCCAGGCTGCTTCAGCTCCATCTCCTACCGTCCATTCGGCTGCATCTCCATCTCCCACCGTCCCTCCGGTCCCAACTCCAACTCCTGGCCCTGGCAGCAGCCCTGCTTCCTCTACTACCTCCCCTACTCCCACTGCGATGCAGAGCGGTTCGAATGGATGCGCCTGCAAGCAAAGCCATCAGTGTGAGGAGATCACGGGCGAGCTTGCAAGGCGAGTGGCAGAACTGGAAGCAGAGCTGAGAGCAGCCAGGGCTGCAGCAGATGCTGCCAGGGCGGCTGCTGCAGCAGAGAGGGCGAGAGCAGCCCAGCTGGAGCAGCAGCTGATCAGTGGACGGAAAGCCACTGAGATAATAAGCGCTCGGGACAAATCCCAGATCCAAATTTTGCAGGTGAGAAGCTGGAATTTTTCCTGCCCGCCCCCACTTTCTCAGTCCTAACTCAGTCCTCCCTCCCCTCTCCCACTCGTGAAGTTTGAGACCTTTGGTTGTGCTGTTTGGTTAGTGTGTGCGGTACGGATTGGTTACGGTAGAAATGAGTCAGGCGAATATCGAAACTGCAAAGACACAAAACTTTTTTTAGACTGTATTCCCGGTTCTGAGTCCCCCTTTTTTTTTGTCCTTCCTGCATTTTCCCTTCTCTTTTTTCGTGTCGTGCGCTGTGTCCTTCCTGCAGCCTTCGTGCTGAGAGTGAGGACTGCAGCAAGAGACTCCCGCAAGTGTTACCTTGCAGAGCAATCACTTGCTCGACAAGACAACATATTCTCGCAGTCTTTAGCGTCCAGCATGCTGTCTTGCCATGCCTTGTCACTTACAAGGACGGATCTAGGCCGATCGGGTCTTATCGTCAGATAGGCGCATGTGGAGGTGTTTGGGTGGATGGAGATGGGTAGAAGGAGATGCTGTGCTTCCGTTGTTATTCGTGAAACCTGATTTGAAATCATGTGTTTTTTTACCATCACCTGCTCTTGTTCTTGGGCATTGTGGATCTTCCAGATCTCCTTGCCAGCTTGTCTTCTTGTTTGTTGGTTCCTTTATTTCTTTCTTTTTTTCTTCCTTCCTTTTTCTCTTGCTTCTTGTGCTTTGTATCCGTGTCCCCCTCCCACTGCCTTCTCGTCCCATTTCATCCGATTCCTCTCTTCCTCTCCCCATTCTTCTCTCTTTCCTCACTCTCTTTCACCCTCCCATCCTGCCTTGCTCTTTTCCTCTCTCCCTCTCTCTCCCTCCCTCCTCCCTCCTCCCTCCTCCCTCCTTCCTTCCCGCTCCTGCCTTCCCCTCACCCCACCCCCCTCCCCCTTCAATCCCACTTCCCCCGTCCCAGCAATCCCTTTGCTCCCAATCCATCTCTCTCGCAGCAGCCACTGCATCAGCAGAGGCCTCTCGCCGCGCCCTCGCCTCCTCCCACTCTGACTGGCACTCACAGCTCCACCGAATCCGCTGCCAGGCTGTAGCAGCCGCCGTAACCGCCGCTACAGCCAGCTGGCAGGCTTGGGAAAGCTCCCAGTTCCGTCCGAACCTGGGTCTTGCTGCCTCTGGGGATGGTGGTGCAACGAAAACGGCAGCAACAGCAGCTGCAGCAGCAGCGGCGGCAGTAGCAGCTGCGGCGGCCGCAACAGCCGGGGAAGCAATTACAGGGGGCGGCGAAACGGGAAGCACAGTTTCAAAGCTATCGAATCCGTCGTACATTCCGAACCTGTCCAGCCCTTCTTACGAACCAAACCTGCCGAACCTCCCTGCTCTGACAACTACAGCTGTACCTGCTTCTAAAGGTATACTTGCTGTCACATCACCAGCTGTTTCCCCCGTTTCCCCTTCCTCATACAGCATTCTTGAGGTGGCTCTGCTGTGTCAGCAGCTGAGTGACAGCACTGCTGCCAGCACAACCGTTTCAGGAGCACCAGCAGAAACAGATGCAGCAGCAGGAGCAGCAGCAAGAACAGCAGCAGCAGCAGCAGCAGCAAAAGCAGCAGCGCCAGTACCACGCCTCTCCAGCCACGTGCCATCAGGGCTTGAGTGCAAGCCCTCCGCCTCTGTGCATCCTGCAGCTGACTGCCATACCGCTGCTGTGGGAGTCGACCCTCTCTCTCACGACCCCATGCTTTCCTTCAAGGCATCACTGCTAGCTGGAAAGATCAGCAGTGCTGCAGCTGCTGCTGACCGTGCTACTGCGGCTGCTGCTGGTGGTATTGGCAGTGTGGTAGCTGGTACTGCAAGAATTGGTGCATCCAAGCTGGGTGATGCTGATGACTTTCCAGCAGATGAGGAGATAGCATACCCTCTTGGCTCACTCAAACCAGCCATCGAATCTTGGAAGGTTGACCTGATTGCGCCCTCCCATGGTGATGCAGCTGCGTCCCTCAAAGCCTCATTTCTTTCGAGGAAGCTTCTCGGCAAAAGCAATCTGGACCGCTCCAGCAGTATGGAATTTCTGCAAGGGGTGAAACCAGGGATGAAAGCAGGGCAAGAAGGTAGTGTGGGGGCGTTTTTCTCTTCCCCGCACCACCATCACGATACAACAGCAAGCATTATGCGGAAAATAGGTTCGGTGCCGAACCTGCTTTCGCTGGAGCACACTGCCACTCTGCACTCCCCTTCACCGCTCCAAACCTTGGGATTTTCAGGATTTCGGAAGGTGGAATCTTTTCCCGATTTCCAGCCCTGGAATAGCGAAGGCTATAGCCGACCTGTTAACAGTTTACTCAGCTACAATTCATCTGGTTACAATCAATTGAGCAGCTATCGAGCCAGCTACAGCCAACCTACCTCCAAACACCTCATACCGACTCCTTCAGACCACTCTATACCTCAGCACTTTCACAGCCCCATCCAGCCAGACAAATTTGTGGGGAATTTCCACCGCAGGGTAGATTCATACCCTGATTTATCCTATGCCGGGCTATCATTTACCCCCGGTCAAGACTCCCCTTTACTTGCTCTGCCCACCAAATCCCAGAGGCCGCTAGACCGAGTAATTCAATCCCCTATAAAAAAGAAATCCTCCCTTATGCATCGATCCTCCAGTGAAAGCTGCTTATCAAGCCTAGCCAATTCGGGCTCATCAGGCCAGGGGGGGGGGAAGACGCTGGGGAAAGTGAGAAGGGGGGTTGGTGGTGGTGCTGCGGATGTGATTCCTGAGAGGAGCAGCATGCTTGGACTAGAGAGCCTGCCGTTTGCTCCTAAGGGTATGTGTGAGGCGCAGAAGAAGGCGTCTGGGTGGTTCAGCCTGGTTCCCAGCCCCGATGTTGAATGAGAGGGTTGAAGTTAAGAGCTGGGAGGTCAAGTCTTTGCAACAGAAGGGTATGTGTGAGGCGCAGAAAAAGGCATCTGGGTGGTTCAGCCTGGTTCCCAGCCCTGATGTTCAGTGAGAGGGCAGGCAGGAGATAGGGCATAGCGAGGTGTGCTGCAGAGTCAAGCCATCTCAAGGTTAGCAGGCCAAGGGGAGGTGAAATCGCTGGGGAAGGCGGGAAGTGGGGTCGGTGGTGCTGCGGATGTGGCCGGCAGGAGTTAGGGCAAAGCGAGAGGCGCCTGTAGTGTCTAGATATCTCACGGTTAGCAGGCCAAGGAATCTACTGGGGGAAGGCAAGGAGAGGGGTTGGTGGTGCTGTGGATGTGATACCAGAGAGGTGCAGCAGCCTGCTTGATTTTGAGAACCTGCTGTTTGCTCCCAAGGGTAAGTGTGAGGCGCAGACTAAGGCAGCTGGATGGTCTAGCCTGGTTCGTTCCCATCCCAGCCCTGACGACAATGAGAAGCAATGTGTTTGCAAAGGTGTCTGGAAAGTTCTCGGTTCCCACTCCCAGCCAGCCCTGCACTGATGCTGCAGTGAGAGGGTTAGACCACGAAAATTGATCTGGATTGTTTCAGCTTGGCTCTGATCCGATGTCCTTCAGGTGAGCTTTCATGTTCCCCCTTGCCTCGTACCCAAATCAAGGCAGGGCACCTTTAAACTCTACCCTCCTGGTTTCTTCTGGTCCAGCACGGTGCTGTGAATCGGTGTCGTGCAGTGCAGCCCTTGAAGGACAGAGGCGAGGTGACCCTATTCGCGTACCGGTATCTGGCCTTCAGGTTGGCTTTTTGCAGCTGGATAATTTATTATAATTTGACGATTCATAAACAGTATGATATATCTGCTTACATAGACTGGTTGTGAGGTAATTCTCAAATACAGGTATTCCAGTGCTGCTTCATATGGGATGAATAATGTCCACAAAACAAGAACACGAAAATGTCCAGGGTTATGTCAAATGTTCTAGCCGTTAGTGGGTTGTGCAGTAGGGGGTACAAACAGTTAGGGTTAGGAATATGTACCCCAATCCATTCAATGCAACTCATTCCGCTGTAGTTAGTTTCTAAGATGGTATCAGCAGTAGGTTCCACGATCCTCCGCCGTTCCTAGCGTGCCACTCAAACCGCCCGTCGCTCGTCGTTTCCACGCCAGCCCGCCGGCCCCTCCCTCTCTCACGCCCTCCTAGCGCGCTAACCTAGCAGCCCGCCAGCGCGCTAACCTGGCAGCCCCCCAGCGCGCCAGCCAGGCCACACGCACGCCAGCGCGCCCCGCCAGCGCGCACGCCAGCGCGCCCGCCAGCGCGCACACTAGCGCGCCGCGCCGCCCGCCCGTCATCCCGCCGCGCCGCCCGCCAGCCAGCGCGCCGCGCCGCCTACTCGCCTGTGCACCCATCAGCCCGCACGCCTGCCGGCCCGCTTGCACGCCTGCCACCCGCCACTCACTGCCTCACCCTCCCGCGGCTGGCAGCCGCGCTCTCTCAGTTTCGCCCCCTATGGCGACCTCCCGAGTACTTCGCTTTGACCCTGAGGGGAGACCGATTGACTTTAGTACGTGGCTTACGCAGGCGCAGCGCCACCTTAAGAGCCAGCGGCAGGATGGCGTGCACCTGTTTGCGCACGCGTCCGGCACTCAGACCGCCCCTCCGCAGCCTAAACCGCTGCCCACTACCCCACCGCCTACTCCTGAGCAGGAGGCCGAGTACCAGCGTCAGTTCTTAGCTCGGGACGTGTGGGAGTCTCGTGACGCCGCTGCCTGCCTCGCTCTGCCCGATCTTCTCCCGCCGACAGAGGCGGTCCACTTCACTCAGGTCAAGTCCGCCGCCGATTTGTATAAGGCCATTGTTGCTCGCTACTCCACTCCCTCCTCTGCCTCCCTCAGTCGCCTTCTCGTGCCCTTCATCTACCCTGACCTCGCCTCCTTTGATACTATTTCCGACCTCGCTACCCACCTTCGCTCCCTTGACGCTCGCTTTCGCGCTGCTTGCACTGAGGACCAGCTTGCCCTTGCCCCGCCCCCTATGTGGCTCACTATTCACTGGCTAGTCACTCGCCTCCCTGACCGCCTAGCCACAGCCCGCGACGCGCTTCTCCTGAAGCACCCCACTGAGCTTACTATCGATCTTCTTGAGACTGCTCTCTCGAAGATCGAGAGTAACCTCCTCACTGTTGCCTCTGCCTCTTCCGCGCCTCCTCCTCGTCTTTTTGAGGGGTGTGCGGTGCCGCAGCTTCCCACCTTCACTGCCTCACTTGCCACCCCCACGTCTTCAGCCTTTGAGGAGACGGCGGCTGTTTCTGTCTCTGGCGGACAGAAACGTGGCAAGGCCGGTAAGAAGGGCGGGAAGGGCGGCGGGGGTACTGGAGGTGGTGCGGGTAGTGGCGGTGGCGGTGGAGCAGGTGGTGGGAGTGGTGGTGGGGGTGGCTCGGGACCTGACGGCCCTCCTCTCGACGGTGGAGTTTTCACTGGTGGTGAGGGGTTCCAGCAGCAGCAGCAGCCGGCTTCTCAGCAGCTGCCACCGCCTGGACAGCAGCAGCAGCAGGGACAGCAGCAGCAGCGAGAGGGCCAGCAGCAGCGCCCACGACAGCAGCAGCCCCAGCCGTGGGGCCCTCCGCAGTAGTGGAGGTCCGCGGGTCCCCCAAGCACTGGGCGCAACGGCCCCCCCTCTAGCTGGGGACCTCGCTCGGCCGGCCGCGACGTTGGTCCCTGTGAGTACTGGATCCTTATGGGTCCACGTAGGGACTCGTACAGTGGCCGCCCTGCCCAATCTGCTGCACGCTGCTTCAGTCGTCTCGACGACCTCTACCGCTTGCACCACGGCCCCTCTGCTCCCCCGCCGCCACGCTGGGGGACACTTCTTGCTCGTGGCATCTCTGTTTTTGATATGCCTATGGATGATGCTAGGTCTTATGTCATGTATGCTGATGTTGACTATAGTGCTGCTGGATCTGTGTACTTGCCTGTACCTAGCGTAGGATCTTTGCCTGTTGCTAGAGTAGGTGCTAGTGTAGGATCTTGTTTAGCTAGTAGTACAGGCCCTCCTTCGGCGGACACGCTCTCCTTCACACTGGACTCCGGAGCGACGCAGTGCTTCTTCCGCGACTGCACGACTCTCTCTCCACTGCCGGCGCCAGTCTCTATAGCACTGGCCGATCCCTCCTCGGGACCGGTCATTGCGACTCACGCCACTACCCTCCCGTGCCCAGCTGCCCCTTCCGGTTCCCTGACTGGCCTCCACGTTCCTACGTTCTCTAGGAACCTGGTTGGTGTGGGCCCCCTGGCGAGACAGCACGTCGGGGTCTGGGTTGAGCCTTCTGGTGACACCGCGGTCTGTGTGGACGGTGACACGTACGCCCCCTTGGCCACTTTTCGCCAGGAGCCGGGCTCCGGTCTGTACACCCTCCGCACCGACCCCCGTCAGGTTCCTCCGTCCCACCAGGTTGCCGAGCCCAGTCAGGTTGCTGTGTCCGGTCAGGTTGCTGCGTCGTGCTCGTGTCGGTCGCTTGCCCACCCCTCCCTCCTTTGGCACCACCGCCTTGGTCACCCGTCCCTCCCTCGTCTCCGCGCTATGTCCAGTCAGCGTCTTGTCTTGCGCCTCCCCCGAGTCCTCCCGCCACTCCCGCCGTCCCCAGCTCCTCCGTGCGGTCCTTGTGTCCAGGGTCGGCTGCGCGCCACCCCTCACTCCTCCTCCCTTCGTCCGGCCACCGAGCCCTTCGAGACTCTCCACTTAGACGTCTGGGGCCCCGCTCGCTGTCTTGGCCCTGAGCGAGAGAGTTTCTTTCTGGTGGTCGTTGACGACTACTCTCGGTACACCACCGTGTTCCCTTTGGCGAAGAAGTCCGACGTGACTTCTACGCTGATCCGGTGGCTGCTCGCCACCGAGAGTACTCGCCGTCGTCGTGTCAGTTGTCTCCACTCCGACCGTGGGGGTGAGTTTCGCTCCGGCGTTCTCACCAGATTCTGTGCTGAGCAGGGCATCACCCAGTCCTGGACTCTTCCAGACTCTCCACAGCAGAATGGGGTTGCTGAGCGCCGCTTAGGCCTGGTCATGGAGATTGCCCGCACCTCCATGATCCACGCCCGCGCGCCCCATTTTCTGTGGCCCTACGCGGCTCGGTACGCCGCTCACCAGCTGAACCTCTGGCCTCGCGTCTCTCGGCCAGGGGCTTCACCGACCAGTCTTTGGACAGGGTCCCCTGGTGTTGCGTCGAGGTTTAGTGTCTGGGGCTGCTTGGCTCTTGTCCGCGACACCTCTGTGGACGAGATCTCGCCTCGCGCCATCCCCTGTGTCTTCCTTGGTTTCCCAGAGGACTCCTCTGACTTCACCTTTTACCACCCTCCCTCCCACCGGTTCTTTGACTCTCGTGACGTCCGTTTCGACGAGTCCGTCCCCTACTACGTCCGGTACCCCTGTCGAGGTCTCCCGGTTCCCCCCCCTCCCCTCTTCCTGGCTCCAGCTCCTCCTCCTCCCGCCCCTGCTCCTCCGGTACCCCCCCCTGTTCCCGCTCCATCTGGTGTGTCCCACGCTTCTCCCCCCCCCCCCTCGGTACCCCTCCGAGGTCTCTCCTCCTTCCCCACAGTCATCCTCACAGCCTCCGCAGCAGCCGTCAGCGCTTCCTTTACCGGCCACTGCGGACTCTGAGGGTGTTGGTGCTCGAGGTGAGGGCTCTGGCGGTGCTCGCTCTGGGGGTGATGGCGCTGGAGCTGGAGCTGTTCGTGCACCTACAGGAGCCGCCCGTTCTGGGGGTGTTGGAGTTGGAGCTGAGCGTGCACCTGCCGCAGCTGCCCGTTCCGAGGGTGCAGGTGGTGCTAGCGCTGGTGGTGTTTCTGGAGCTGGAGAGTCTGGGGCTGGTGCTGGTGCCACTGGAGGCACCACGACTGGGGGTGCAGGTACACCTCCTACTGGTGCTGGTCGTGCTGCTGCAGGGGGTACTTGCCCTGGGGGTGCTCAGCCGGGTCCTGTCGAGGGCGGAGCCGGTTCCCCTTCTTCGTCTCCTGCCACCACTCCTCCTCCTCACTCCTACCCGACTCGACACCAGGCCCGTCTTCGTCTTGCACGTGAGGAGCAACAACGTTTGGAGCGTGAGAGGTTGGAGGTTCAGCAGCGGGTGGAGCGTGAGAGGTTGGAGTTGCAGCGGGAGCTACAGCAGTAGCAGCAGCAGCAGCAGCAGCAGCAGCAGCAGCAGCAGCAGCCGCCGCCGCAGCAGCAGCAGCAGCAGCCGGAGCAGCCTCCGGCCCCTGTTACTGGCCTTCGGACCCTTGGTCTCCCCTCCTCTCCTCCTGTGTTTGGTCCTACGTTTCCTCCTCCGGACTCCGCTCCGGCTGTGTTCCCTCGTTCTCAGTCTCCTCCGTCTCCCTCTCCTCTCGCCCACACTTGGGCCTCTCGTCCTCCCTGTGCTCGTCCCTCGTCACCTGTCACTGACCTCCGTACCGTGTTGTCTCGTCCTAGTCCTCCTCGTCCTCCTCCGTCTGTTCTTCCTCGTCCTCCTGAGTCGTCCCTCACTGCCTCCCTGTCCACTCCGGTCACTGACTACTACCGCACGTACCGCCCCACTCTCTCTCGTGTTCTCGCCTCTCTTGTTACAGACCCCCGTGCCTCTCCTTCCTCTGTCGCGGTCCTCACTGCCGCTGTCACTGACTTTACTGCTACGCGTCGCCTTGACTACGCCACTCGTGTTGTGGCCGCTCCTCCTGTCCGTCCTCTGTCCGCCGGGGGTGAGTCTGCCCTTGGCTGTGTCGTCCTAGAGGATAGATGGTTTGAGCTAGAGTTCCTGGCAGCTGCTTCGCCTCATCTCTGTGCCATGCTGCTCGCTCCTGAGGGAGACCCCGACGCTCCTGACATACCTACTCCTCGCACTTACGCTGAGGCAGTGTCAGGGCCTTGGGCCTCTCAGTGGAGAGCTGCCATGGATGCAGAGATGGCCTCCTACAGGTCCACAGGCACTTACGTTGACGAGGTTCTCCCCCCAGGGGCGAACATAGTCGACGGCATGTGGATCTTCAAGGTGAAGCGGCCGCCGGGATCTCCCCCAGTCTTCAAGGCACGCTACGTGGCTAGAGGGTTCAGTCAGCGCGAGGGGGTTGACTTCTTTCAGACCTTCGCGCCCACCCCGAAGATGACCACTCTTCGGGTGTTACTTCACGTAGCGGCGCAGAGGGACTACGAGCTACACTCCCTTGACTTCTCCACCGCCTTCCTCCAGGGCAGCCTGCACGAGGAGATCTGGCTGCGTCGTCCTCCGGGCTTCACTGGCACCTTCCCGCCTGGGACCCAGTGGAGCCTCAGACGACCGGTCTACGGTCTCCGCCAGGCACCCCGTGAGTGGCACGACACTCTTCGCTCTACTCTGTCCGACCTCGGGTTTGAGCCGTCTTCCGCAGACCCGTCGCTGTTTGCTCGTCGTGGGCCCACACCTTTTCTTCGTTCTGGTCTACGTTGACGACTTGGTTTTTGCCACAGCAGACACAGTTGCACTGGCGGAGGTGAAGTCCGAACTGCAGAAGAGACACACGTGCACTGACCTTGGAGAACTGCGCCGCTACCTTGGCCTGCAGATCTCCAGGGACAGAGCCGCTCGCACCATTACTCGGACTCAGTCACACATGGTGCAGCAGGTCCTTCAGCGGTTCGGGCTTCAGCACTCCTCTCCTACACCCACTCCTCTTGCTGTAGACCACAGACTCACTGGGCCTTTTCCTGACGAGCCGTTCGAGCCCAGTGGTCCCTACGCAGAGCTGGTGGGCTGCCTCATGTACCTGATGACGTACACTCGCCCGGACCTCGCCTTCTCTCTTAGCATCTTTACTCGCTTTGTTGCGACTGGGAGACACCGTCCTGTGCACCGGACAGCAGCTAAGAGGGTGGCGAAGTACCTCGCCACGACATCAGACATGGGGCTTGTACTTGGAGGGACACAGCCAGTTGTACTCACCGGTCACTGCGACTCCTCGTACGCCGACGACGTTGAGACTCAGAGGTCTACGCAGGGTTACTGTTTCAGTCTGGGCTCTGGAGCTGTTTCGTGGAGGTCTACTCGGTCCTCCTCTGTTGCGACTTCTACCGCAGAGGCCGAGATCTACGCCGGAGCCCGAGCTGCGCTGGTTGACCTTCTTGCTCACTGACCTTGGTGAGCGGCCGAACTTTGCACCGACCTTGTTTGCTTACAATAAGGCGATGATTCTCCTGTGTCGTGAGCCTCGACTGGAGAGCAGAGTGAAGCACATCGACGTCAGGTACTTCCTCCTTCGAGAGTTGCAGAGACGCGGGCAGGCACGTCTGGACTTCGTGGCCTCCGAGGCCAACACTGCAGACATCTTCACCAAGGCTCTTCAGCCTTGTGACCACCGCCGGTTCTGTCTGCAGTTAGGCCTCGTTGAGACTGGGTCTAGTAGACTGCAGTAGTGAGTTCTTGCCTCTTCTCTTTGCTTGTATTGTATATATTTGCATATACACTCTTGAACTGGCCTTGTGGCCGTTGTTTGCGCTCAGACTGTGTGGTGACGTTGTGATCCACCCTGAGCTTTGTTTTGTCTTTTGTTTGTGACTGGTCTTGTGACCACAGGTTGCTTGTTGTTACTCTGCACTCCCCACTTAGGCTATAAGGGTGTGTCAAATGTTCTAGCCATTAGTGGGTTGTGCAGTAGGGGGTACAAACAGTTAGGGTTAGGAATATGTACCCCAATCCATTCAATGCAACTCATTCTGCTGTAGTTAGTTTCTAAGAGGTAATATGGACTGAAATTGCTCAATTCTGCCTGTATTGACACTGAGGAGCAGAAATGCAAAATGGTTTACACTCTAAACCATTGGGTAGCAGAAACATTTGAAATAGAGTACAAACAAAAACAACACAGCTAGGAACAGTATTTTAGCGGCAATAGGAGCCGTAGCTCACTGCATAGATGATACTGACCCTACTGTAGAGGGCGGTTATTCCCTGACAATACGAAAGAAACGGAAAATAAAAGAAAAGCAGGAAATGAAATTGCCGAGTCGATGCCAGACTGTCGAGTCGAGCACCTCTTCAGAAGTCTTCACGCGGTTGTAGTTTGATATTTCAAGCTGCTCCACATTCGGAAGCAGCTGCTAATAGCAGCTCTCCCCTCCTCCCCCCTCCGCTTCAACTTCCCTTCTTCGTCGTCCTCTTGGTTGCGAACCGGAATCATATCCTGAAGTGCAATCCAATGGTGGTTGCACTGGCAGCACAAGGCTAGGAGCACCGCAGTGCTCCTTCTCTTTCCACACGGCTTCCCCTCCCCTTTTCCCCTTTTCATCTTTCATCCTACTCCCCTCCCTCTGTTCCCCCCCGTCGCCCACCACCTTCTCCCCCTCCCCCAACTCATAGTGGACACAAATGAGTGTCGAAAAAACAGTCCATAGCATACAAAGAAGAAAAGGCCTTGCAGTTAGCAGGCCCAAACCCCCTCCCACCCCCTCCGAAGCTTTCCTTCCCTCCTGCTGCTGTTCCCCCTTGCATTCTCCCTCAAATGAAATCCAAACACCCGTCCAGAAAGTCCCATGAAGCTCCCTTCATATCGAAACCCATGATCCCTCCCCCCCGGTTCCCCGGTTCCCCCACCATCTCCGTCCCATCACCCCCCTCCCCCCCACTCTCCGCTCTCTCCTCTGTGAGTGACAGTGGGGACAGGCGGCCAAAGCAGGAGAAAGGAGAGGCGGATACCCCTGCTATCCCCCCCACCATCTCCTCCTCCCTCTCGTCCCAGAGCCGTGGCTTTTTGAACGGTCCACCTAAGATTTCACTGTCTATTCCATCTACGGCTCTCACGGCCTCGCCTTGCTCCCCCAGTTCATCCCCACCGTCCATCTCGAGTAGATCTGTAAGATCAACGTTGAGTGTCCGGGATTTGGGCGTGCACTGCTGCTGCTGCTGCTGCTGCTCCTCCTCCTCCTCCTGCTGCTGCTGCCGTTCCTGTTGCTCCTGCTGCTGCAGCAGCCTCCCCTTCACACGCCCCTGCTGCAGTGTTGTACGGCAATGCTCCCATTACCTGCTGCTGCTGCTGCTGCTGCTGCTGCTGCTGCTGCTGCTGCTGCTGCTGCTGCTGCTGCTGCTGCTGATACTGCTGCTGCTGTTGCTGCTGCTGCTGCTGCTGATACTGCTGCTGCTGCGGTTGCTGCCACTGCAGTTGCTGCTGCTGCTGCTGCTGCTGCTGCGGAGCAGCAAACAGAGTAGCAGGATCAGCAGGCGTCACCACACCACTAGGGAAAGTGTAGCTCCTGTCTTCCCCCGCTCCCCTCTCCACCACCTCTGCTGCTACTCCAACCCCGAAACCCCCATCTCCTGCCCCAACAATACCACCACCAGCAGCACCGCCAGCAGCACCAGAAGCAGCAGCACCACCACCCCGAGCAGCATACGAGTCGTGAACCGAAGCTGTAGTGTTCCCCCCACTGTTACTCTCGTTGTGGCTATCCCTGTAGCCAGCACTACCGGACCCAACACCCAGGCCCATGCTCCCTACCGGACCAGGAGGGGTGAGAGTGTTGGTATTGGAAAGACCAGAGCTTCGGTTGTAGCTGCTCACGTAGCTGCTGGTGGGATTGTAGCTTGAATATAGCGCCTCTGGCTGCTGCTGCTGCTGCTGCTGCTGCTGCTGCTGCTGCTGCTGCTGCTGCGTTTGCTGCAGCTGAAATTGCTGCTGCTGCTGCTGCTGCTGTTGCGGCGGTTGCTGCAGTTGAAACTGCTGCCCCTGCTGCTGCTGCATGCCAGAGCTCATCCCTCCCTCTTCCCTTCCTTCTTCTCCCACCGCTCCAACTGCCATTGACTGCTCAAGTCCAGACGGGGCTGGCGCAGATGGTTGGGAAGGAGATAGAGTGAAAGAAGAGACTGGAAGCATTTGGTATCCGTTTGAATCTACAGCCGCTGGTGTCAACTGCCCAGCCTGCTGCTGCTGCTGCGTTTGTAGCTGAAACTGTTGCTGTGCCTGCTGCTGCGGCTGGTGCATTTGACACTGGTGTGGCTGCTGCAGCTGCGGCTGCTGCTGAGTTTGCAGAGTTCGGCTAGCCGAGACTGAAGGCCTGGCAATGCCTACAGGCATGCTAAACTGCTGCTGCTGCTGCCGCTGCTGCTGCTGCTGCTGGTGCTGCCGCTGCTGCTGCTGCTGCTGTTGCCGCACTTGATGCTGCATGCATGAATGCCCCTCTGAATACTGCTGCTGCTGCTGCTGCTGCTGCTGCTGCTGATGTGGCATGCCACCTGGCAGCCTCAGCATGCCCGCAGAGCCAGACGACACAGCGCCCCGTTGCGGGGACCGAGCGCCACCTGCTGACGTGGCAGGTGCTGCAGAGACGGCACGACTAGCTGACGTGGCAGGGCCCGCAGACATGGATGACGTGGCAGGAGATGCGGTGGGGATGGAGAGCAAGCGGATAGAAGGACCCCCACTAAGTGCAGACGCACTAGGAGCACCACTTATGTAAGTGTTGGCAGGAGAATCACCCCAATAGGCTCCTCTCCCCGCGCCCATACCAGTAGCAGCTGCTGTACGAACACCTGTAACAGCAGCTGTAGCAGCACCTGTAGCAGCAGGTACGGGAGGAGCACCCATCGAACCTGCAGGTTCGGCAGACGAAGGCGCAGCGAAACCGGAGTGGGAAGGCGTGGCAGGTACCTGACCTGCAGCAGAGGCTTGGTATTGAGTCTGGTAGGGTTGGGAACCGGTGGCAGGTTCGGTGGAAGGAGCAGCAGACTGAGGGAAATGGTTGAAGGGCTGCTGTTGCTGCTGGTATTGATTGTGCTGCTGCTGCTGCTGCTGCTGTTGCGATTGCTGGTATTGTTGCTCGTACTGCTGCTGCTGCTGCTGCAACTGTTGCTGCTGCTGATGTTGTGGCTGTTGCAGATGCGTATGCGGCTGCTGGTAACCAGAGAAAGCCAAGACAGCAGCGACAGCTGGGGCAGGAGAAGCACGCGTACCAGCAGCAGGGGGCGAGGCGTATTCAGGGGCAGGGGCAGGGCGGAGGGTGGGAGTGGGTGCGGGGCGGAAAGCAGTAGAGGCGCTGCTGACGGGACTGGCAGGAGCTTGACAGGTGGGAGGGTGAGGGGCCAATGATCTGCTGCTGTTGCTGCTGCTGCTGTTGATGATAATATTGCTGCTGCTGCTGCTGCTGCTGCTGCTGCTGCTGCTGCTGCTGTTGCTGCTGTTGCTGCTGCTGCTGCTGCTGTTGCTGTTGCTGCTGCTGCTGCTGCTCCTGCTGCGGTTGCTGGTGGTGTAGCTGCTGCTGCTGCTGCTGCTGCGGTTGCTGGTGGTGTAGCTGCTGCTGTTGCTGCCTCTGGTGTTGTTGTTGCTGATAGTTTTGGTGCTGAGAGGCGGACGAGGCAGGAGAAGAGGCGTGCTGAACATGAGGGGAGAGCCGCCCTCGGGAATGGGAGTGAGTGAGAGAGTGAGTGAGGGAGTGAGAGTGTGGTGAAGGGTAGGAAGTGGGATGGGATGAAGGGTGAGAGGTAGGGAAGGACTGGGAGTGGGTAAGGTGGGGTGGCATGTGCGGACGAGCAACGCCACCCACCTGCTTCTGCTGTGCTTGAGGTTGGTTCGGAGTGTGGGAGGGAGGATGGGGTAGAGATTGAGAGTGTGAGGGAGTGTATGAGGGAGTGTATGAGGGAGTGTATGAGGGAGTGTATGAGGGAGTGTGAGTGTGAGTGTGTGGGGTGGATCCATGTAAGGGGCATTGATGCTGGTGCTGGTGCTGGTGCGGGTGCTGATGCTGGTACGGGTGCTGGTGCTGATGCGGGTGCTGGTGCTGGTGCTCGTGTTGCTGGTGATGCTGCTGCTGCTGCTGCTGCTGCTGCTGCTGCTGCTGCTGGTTACCACAATTCCCCTGCTGGTTACCGTTATGCGCCTGCGCTTGCACCTGAAGGCCAAAGCTGGTCATGTTGTTACCAGCGCCACCATTCACACCAGCATTGGATGCAGCGTAGGTAGCAGGGGAAGAAGCACCGCTGCCACAACCACCAGCAGCGCCACCAGCACCAGCTGAAACCGCAGGAGAGGAAGCAGCAGAGGGGCCAGGAGGAGGCCCCATGAAGTGTTGAAGCGTAGGAGCAGCAGGAGTGGTGGGCGTTTGAGCGGCAGCTAGCGTGACTGCAGCTGGTGTGACTGCAGCGGGTGTGACATAAGACGGAGTGGCTATACCCACGGGGAGAGCAGCACCATTGCTTGCTCCAACTCCACCTCCGTTGTTAGCACATCCGATGTTGGCACCAGAAGAAACGTCAGCAGCAGCAGCCGCAGCAGCAGAGGCAGCAGTTGAAAGCAGCACTGAACCGTGCGCAGGTGCAGAGGCTGAGGAGGTGAGGGTCCTTCCAGTAAGAAGCGGGAGAGCCGCTCCCCCTTGGGTCCCCCCTTGGCTTCCCCCTTGGCTCTGCACCTGTCCGCCTTCTTGTGACGCCTGCTGCATCATGCTTCCATAGTTGCTCGTGCCTCTGTAAAATTGTCCTTGTTCTGTCCCCGTGGATGCATTTGCTGGGCTGGCAACAGCAGAGAGAGACAGTGACCGAGAGGGTTGCTGCTGCTGGGGGTTTGGGAAGGAAGCAGCAGCAGCTGGGAGGATACATGGGGAGGGGCAGACGGGCGGAGGGAGAGACGCGGGTGTGCTTGTAGCGGGGGTGGCAGCAGGAGTGGTGGGGATGTTTGGGTGGGTTTGGGAGTGAGTGTAAGGGGTGGAAGGGTAGGGGCGGAGAGCAGGAGTTTGTGGGGGGTGGGAGGGGGGGTAAGAAGGAGAGGGCGCAGATGCAGGGGGAAGGGGCGGGGGGGGGGCGCGGAGGGGGGAGCGGGAGGGCGGGATTGGGAAGCGGGGTGAGGGAGGGGAGCTGAGTAATACGGTGAGCGGGGTTGCTGCTGCTAGTGGTGGTGACAGAAGATGGTGTTGAGATGTATGCTTGCTGCTGCTGCTGCTGCTGCTGCTGCTGCTGCTGCTGCTGCTGCTGCTGCTGCTGCTGCTGCTGCTGCTGCTGCTGCTGCTGCTGCTGCTGCTGCTGCTGCTGCTGCTGCTGCTGCTGCTGCTGCTGCTGCTGCTGCTGCTGCTGCTGCTGCTGCTGCTGCTGCTGCTGCTGCTGCTGCTGCTGCTGCTGCTGCTGCTGCTGCTGCTGCTGCTGCTGCTGCTGCTGCTGCTGCTGCTGCTGCTGCTGCTGCTGCTGCTGCTGCTGCTGCTGCTGCTGCTGCTGCTGCTGCTGCTGCTGCTGCTGCTGCTGCTGCTGCTGCTGCTGCTGCTGCTGCTGCTGCTGCTGCTGCTGCTGCTGCTGCTGCTGCTGCTGCTGCTGCTGCTGCTGCTGCTGCTGCTGCTGCTGCTGCTGCTGCTGCTGCTGCTGCTGCTGCTGCTGCTGCTGCTGCTGCTGCTGCTGTTGCTGCTGCTGCTGCTGCTGCTGCTGCTGCTGCTGCTGCTGCTGCTGTTGCTGTTGCAACTGCTGCTGCTGCTGATATTGATAGTTATGCTGCTGCTGCTGCTGCTGCTACTGCTGCTGTTGCTGCTGCTGCTGCTGGTGCTGCTGCTGCTGGTTCCCCCCAGAAGCACCAGCGCCTGCAGACCAACCCGCGCGCCCACTCTCTCCCCCAGCCGCTTCCCCCGCCCCCGCTGCCCCGCCCCCCGCGCTTCCCCCTGCGCATACCCCACCCAACGCCCCGCTGCCTCCGGCTCCCCCTCTTGCTGCCGCCACATTTCCGCCCCCCGCATTTCCGCTGCCCCCATTTCCGCCCCCCGCATTTCCGCTGCCCCCATTTACACTCCCCGCATTTCCGCTCCCCACGTTTACTTCCCCCGGAGAAGCAGCAGCGGCAGCAGGGGTGGGAACGGCTACTTTGAAGGACTGAAGAAACGAGGCTGCCCGCGAAAAGAGTGAGTTTTGAGACAGCTGCTTCAGGTGAAGCGCGTCACCAGGGTTCTTCGAGTCAGGAGCTGCAGCACCAGCGGGACCAGGTTGACCAGGTTGACTGGGCTGACTGGGCTGACTGGGTTGACCGGTTTGACTTGAAGGGGTAGCGCTGTCGCTAGGCGCTGGGATGTCAATGGCCCTTACAGCTGCTGCGGCTGTAGCGGCTGGAGCAGAAGCAACAGCAGGAGAAGCAGCAGCAGCCGTTGCTGCAGCATTTGAAGTGGTGGTGCTGGCGCTAGCAGCGGCTTTAGCAGCGGCTTTGGCAGCAGCCGTAGCAGCTCTGGCAGCGTTCCTGCCCGAAGGGGCTGCTGTGGAGGCAGACTTGCTCCGAGCCACGCCCCTCCGGTTCGTCGGTGGCTTACCACCTGGCGTCACCGCCGCTGCCACCGTTGCCGCCGCCGGAGCCGCAGCGGTAGCAGCGGTGGCGGCAGAAGCGGCAGTGCCAGGGGTCCGACTCCCTTTTTTGTTCCCGTTTTGCTGGTTCTGCTGCTCCTGCGGGTTCTGCCCTTGCTGCTCCTGCTGCTGCTGCTGCTGCGGCTGCTGCTGCGGCTGTTGCGGCTGCTGCTGCTGTTGGAACGGGCTGGAGGCTTGAATGCCGCTCCCCAGAGGAAACACAGCCCCAGGCCTGGCATCCAGAGCCATGGGTTCAGGTCCGGTTGCTGCCGAACCTCCTGCCGAGCCTGACGTGAGAGGGTAGGAGGCGGAGCGCTCGAAGACAGGCTCGGGTTTGATTGGAGGCGCGGTGCGGGGTGCGGTGAAGGCAGGGAGCGGGGGAAGCGCGGGGGAGGCGGGGACGGAGGCGGAGGGGGCTGGGACGGAGGCGGAGGGTGCGGGGGAGGAGGGGACGAGCGGAGGCGCTGATGGTTGCGCGTTCTTGGAGGTCTGGATGAAAGGATGAAATAGCGCCTGGGTAGCACAGTGGGCGGGAAGGGCAGAAAAACGGAAAATAAATAAATATATAAATAATAAGTAACTAGAAAGCGGATGGTCGAATTTCCTATGGTTTTGAGTGCAGGTGTTTAAGTCGTTTGTGGACTTATGCAGGTGCAAGGAAATGAATTTGCGAGACGAAACTCACCTGCTGAGCGGAGGGCCGTTTAGCTGGGTCGTACTCCATCAGGGAGAATATAAGCTCCGCCATAAGAGGGTCGTGCTGTAACAGCATTCGGCCAAGTCGACCACGCCTGCAAAAAGGACGTAAGGTAGGAGACTAGGTAGATCAGTACGGAAATTAGAGGTGCTTGTGATTTATGGAGGGGGGGCTTGCGGGTTCTATGAATTAGGGGGATTTAGTGATGTCGAAATTGTATGTTTTCGCAAATTGTTACGCGCTACTGGCGAAGGTACTTCTCAGCCCTAGTGAGGTTCCCAAAAAAAAAATCGCTCGTTTGACGAACCGTACGCGAAAAGATACCCAGCCAAGCGAAACGTTTTCCATCTTTACCAGCTGCAATGTGCAATCCATGGCTCTGTTCTGTAGGCATACGCCCGAAGGGGAGGAGGGGGGGCGAAAGCAAATGACCCGTGTTCCTACGCAGTTTCCCAACCGAGATCGCCTCCACCCCGCTACAAGCGAAAGCGCGAAACTTCGGGAGAGAGGGCGGAAACTGCAGAAGGTAAATGGCGAACTTACATGCTCAACTTCGCGCCCCATTGGCAGGGGTACATCGAATCGCCCAAACCTCAAAAGCAGGGTAAACATTTGCATAAGGGGGTTCAGCGCTGTAAAAAAAAGGTTGCAAACTCAACTCCCAACTTTCGCAACACATCTCAAACATCCGCAGCAGACCACCACCTCTAACCAAGCAGGGTGGTTGAGAGCAAGCTTTTTTTTGTCGATGGGGTTGTGCTTTTCTGTGGGGGTTACGAGCAGCCTGAGGGAATGACCGTAGAGGGTTGAGAGGGGGTGTCCCCACCCCCCGTACCTCCCTCCCTTGTCTCTCGCCCCGCCCTGAAAAAGCGGTTTTCGAAGGGCGGGGCGAGTGGCGTGTTTTTTGCCAGAGAAGGAAGGTGGGGAGGGGAAATCGGTAGTTTCGTATGGGCCAAAACCCCCCGGGGGTAAATGGCTGTTCTGTAGCCATTTCCCCTGCACAGGTTCGGAGGGGAAATGGCTGGCTCGGCACCGTCTGCAAAACGGTTAGCCGTCCCGGACCAAAAAACGAAGGAGGGGGAAGCTACCTATTTCCCTCGCCCCCCCGCCGCCAAGGCCTACAGAACAGAGCCCATGTCTCAAATTTCTCGTTAGCCGCGTCGCGCTTACCGCGCCGCCAACCCAGGTTTCTGATCGGAGGGAACCATGCCCCAATCCCTTCCTCCTCCAGCTGCCTGGAAACTGATTTTTGCTATCCCAGCCGCCAAGTTCTCACCCACCGCTGCCCCTGAAATTTCTTACCGAATCGTCGCATGGTTCTTCTCCGCTGAGTCGTCGTCGCCTGCAGCCTTCCCGCCCTCGCCATCCGCGTCTCCTGCGATCTCCTCCAGCTGCTGCGACGGATACACGCGCGCGCTCCTCGCCAGCTGCGGGAAGAGCTTTCCGTTGCGAAACAGCTTCGCGGGAGGGGGTAACCCGAGCATCTCCACCATCTGGCGAAGCAGTTGCGAGGGTGAATCGCAGACGAAAAGCAACCGGCCAATCGCGAGCTCCGAAAGTACACACCCCAGCGACCAGAGATCGATACTCTTATCAAAGGGCAGCCCGAGCAAAACTTCAGGTGCCCGGTACGCGAGCGTCTGAACATCAAAATCCCGACACAAATCCTTCACCTGCCGCTGCATGAACGAATTTCCAAAATCAGCGAGTTTGATATTCAGCGGCGCCGGCCGCGGCGAATGCACCAGGCAAACCCGGCCCCCCGAACCCGACGCGCCTGCAGCAACCGCAGCGGTTCCGCTAGGAATCGGCGCAGCGAGAAGGATATTTTCGGGCTTGATATCCCCGTGGATGAACCCAATCGAATGGACCGCCGCGAGCGCCGTGAGCACTTGGCGCGCAACCGCGCGGACGTCCTCCACTCTGTCGGGGAACGCTGGCGCGCGCGCAACTGGTACGCTCCGCGCGCCCTCCGCAACGGGACTTTCCGCGCAAGTGCACGATGCGGACGCGCCGCCGGGAGACGCGGCGGCTGATGCGGCGGGCTTCGCGGAGGCGTCTTCGACGGCCCGGCGACAGAGGTAATCGAGGAGCGACCCGTGAAGCTTCTCCAACACCAAGCACATATGCCCAGAAAAATCAAATCCTCCTGGTTCAATCAGTCGCACAACGGGACAGCCGTCAGCTTCTCGATCCCCGTTCTCCGCGCTCCCGTTTTCTGCGCCGCCAACCGCGGCCGGCAGCAACGAGTTGAGAATATGTAGCAGCTGTAGCTCCTGCCGCCCCACCTCACGATATTGCCGGTGCATGGCCTTAATCACAACGGTCGGCTGTAGCTGACTCTGATTCTGGTTTAGATTCGACCCCCGTTGAAGATCAGACGCCGTTGGTAATCCCCCGAGCGCGCCTCCTCCGCTTGCGCCAGCCGCGGAGCTGCCTGCGGTATCCACCGCCTCGAACACGCGCGCAGACCCGCCTTCCGAGATCGTTGCGCGGAAGCGGAACCGTCCGCCGAGTAGGGGAAGATGTGAACCAACGCGCAACCGGCCCGCGGGAGTCGTGTAGTTGGCGGTGGTGGTCGGCGGCGGGGCGGCGGTGCCCATGGTGTTCCCCGTGGAGCTCGCGCCGGCTACGCCGGTTCCGCCAAACGGGAGCCCGCGGGTGCTGTTCGCAAGAGAAGGAAGGGGCCGGCCGATTGACGGGAGCGACGCAGCGGCGGCGGTGGAAGAGTTGGGGTTTGCGGGGGGCGGAAGAAGCGGCGGAAGCGGCTCCATCGGCGGATGAACCTCCGCGGGGGCCTTGGAGGATAACGAGGGCGGAGAAGCGAGAGCCGGGGGTGCGGGGGGTTCTGAGAGCGCGGGAAGGGGGAGGTGGAGGAGCGGCGGCACGATGGGCTGCTGCTGCTGCTGTTGCTGCTGCTGTTGCAGTTGTTGTGGCGGCGGCGGCTGCTGCTGCTGCTGTGGCTGATGGGAAGGGTACTGCTGATTTTGCTGCTGAAGTTGTTGGTACCGCGGATGCTGCGGCGGCTGCTGCTGCTGCTGCTGCTGGTACTGCTGCTGATACTGCTGCGAGTGTGTATTCGTGGACTGCTGATTACCGTTGGACGGGGAAAGAAATTGCGCGGAGGCGGAAGGTCCCGGCGCGCTGCTGCCTGTGACGCTTAGAGGGGGAGCGGAAGGCGGAGCGAGAAGAGACATCGACGACGACGAGTTGTCTTGCGGGGTGTGAGGCATACTCGCGTTACCATTGAGAGAGAGAGGGTGCAGCGACGGCGGGTGCAGAGGCTGTTGCTGTTGCTGTTGCTGCTGCTGCTGCTGCTGCTGCTGCTGCTGATGATATTGCTGATGACGTTGAAATACTGGAAGAGGCTGCTGTTGCTGCTGCGGCGGCTGATGCGACGGCTGATGCTGCGGCTGTTGCTGCTGGTATTGGTTCTGTTGTCCTTGTTGAATTACCATCCCTTGCGCAAACGTCTGCTGCTGCGAATACTGCGGCGGGTACTGCGGCGGGATTTGCGCGGGCTCGTACGACTGTGGTTGCAGAAACTGCGGTTGTTGTTGCTGCGCTAGTTGTGCTGGCTGCGCCTGTCCCTGCTGCTGCTCCGCCGCCCGCACGCCAGACTGCTCCGCGGGGGCAGCGCCTCCCGCCGGCCCACCCATTCCCCCGAACCCCAACCCATGAATCGAATTGTGAACATTACTGCCTAGAGATTCTGTCTGGTGACCGTTGAAAAACCCGGGCTGGCCCGCTTGCTGCGGCGCCTGCTGCGCCGCCTTCAGCCCCTGCTGCGGCGCATGGAGTTGCGCGTGCGCGCCCTCCCCGTCGCGCGCCTGGAGCAGCTGCTGTTGCTGCTGCAGGGGCACGGTGGAACCGAACAGCGCGCCGTTCGGGAGGGGCATCAGCGCGGGTGCCTGCCCGGGTGGCGCGGCGGAAGGCGCATGCGCGGATGGGGGTGCATGCGCGGAAGGCGGCATGTGTCTGCGCTCCTCGTCTCGAGATTCCGCGAAACCGAGAGGCATCCGCCCCTCGATTTAGTCACCACACAACACGTTCCCACGACTATTATCCCTATGCTACAAGTCGTGATGCGCCTTCAGTCAACCCAAAGCATGGAAACATGAGAGCTATTTAGAGAATCTGTCTCGCTGTTTAGTTCCGTTGTTCAGTCTTAAGAGCACGCTGCATTCTTGCACCGACTATCCCGTACGTCGCCGCACGTACCGCGTCTTCTGTGAATCTAGTGACAGTTCTCCTACTTAATCTATAATACTACGCGCGCTTAGAATGCGGCCCCGAACACGTGACTAATCTCCTAGGCTGACGGAAGATTCGCGCCTCTCGTGGTTTTAGAGCTGAGACATTCAAATCAGACTGTACGACGAGACACGCAGAAGCGTAATGGCATGTTAGGAGGGACCAGCTAGAAGGAAGCCAGCCGCTGGATTGTGAGGGACGCTTGGTTTGTTGATCGCCTGTGTGTTCTCTGCAGCCACCTTGCTTCCTGTCGTGACGGGCTAGGAGAAGCAGAGGAAGTAACCTAACTGAGGGACAGGAGATTGACTTCCAGTCGCATGACGTCGGAATTTGGCGACGGGCGACGGGGCGGGTCGTAGTCATGACTCATGCGCGTGAAGGGACGGGTGATGAGTGACGAGTGGGGTTGTGGCTGTATGGCTTGGGTTGGGTTTGGGTAGCATCAGTTGCTGGGTGATTGTTTTGGTGCTTTGCCGCTGTGGTTCGAGTGGCTGCGCATGGTGTATGGGTTTCCTTGCGCCGTGCGGCGTGGGTAGTGCAAATTGTGGTTTGAAATGAGTTGGAACGTGGTTCAGGAAGCAAAAGTAGGATATCAGTACGGTCAAAAGGAGCGATTTTGGCAGTTGCGTTTCGGGAAAGGCATCCGAGAAATGTGTTCAAATTTAGCCGCAGCGGAAGATATGCTGGAGGGGCGAATTGATAAGAATGTGGGACGGGCGGTCGCAGCCCGTGCGACATGCTCCCCACCAAAAAGGGGCTGATCGTCGACGTGAACGACGTTTGCGACAGATCGGCTGAAGTAGGGGGAGCTTGAACGACAGTTGCGGCTAGAAATGGCTACGACAAACAGCTTCCACGTCACCTGTCGCGATGTCTTACGACGACTTACGATCTTGTGGTAGCCATGCGATAGATTTCAAATCTTCGACTCCCCGGTACGAGGCGCGGGAAGCTCGGCTATCAATTACGTGCGCGGGCAACTCGTTCCCGCTTTCAGGTAGTGGCCGATTCGATGAGAGAATCCGCGACCCGACAACACGAAGGGAAACGGAGCACAACCCAAGTCAATGCAGTCCAAACTGTTGGGGAACCGAAAACGACGAAACTGACGGCGAAGTACGGCCTTGTCTGGTCTCGCTGGACTGTCATCACGGATGCAAGCATATTGATTTGTGTTATGGCATCTTCAAGTTAGTTTTTCCTGCCCTTTTGTGTTATGTTGCCGAGACTACTGTATTCCTGCTGGAATTCCCAAGATACAGTAGTGAACCGTCGTACTGCACTGAATGGATTATCTATGCTTATGACTACAGCGTATCCGGAAAGAACACAAGAAAACCAGGATCACAAAATGCTCCGAGTTGCATGCAGTGTTATGGCCCACAACACAGCCTCATGGCCTCCGTTTTCCACTTCGAATCGGCCACAGTGATCCAACCGCCCCAGCGCACAGTTGTACTTCGACCTCAACACACTCTGCGTATCCTCCTTGTACAGCTTCTGTTGGGCTGAGAATTGTTTCCAACAGCTTCAAGCAGAAGTGTAATTACAGAAATTAAGGTGGCTGATTAAACGAAAAGGAGGTGGCACTGATTATTTCACAATCCCAATCGCATAAGAACCTCATCGAGGAAAATTATGAAAGGAGCCGAGAAAGCAAGCAGAAGCAGGAGACCATATACAACATTCCTCGGCAGTCCACAGATGCGCACATCATCGTCATCATCCCCATCCCCTCCCCGCTTCTTCCTCTTCTTCCTCTCCAAAAGCTTCTTCCGGATAGCTGCGTCACTCAAGGCGGCCTTTGGCTGCAATGAAAGTCGCAGCAGGGAAAGGCGCAACAGAGATGTAGATAAACGATACAGTGTTCTCCTCAGACGTTTGGATAGCAACCGCACAAAACAATTGTAGAGATTGATTGGTTGATCGTAAGGAGAGATGAACTCACCTTGTCTGCATTGTAATCATCCTCCTCCCCTGACTCTTCCTCCTCCTCCTCCTCCTCCTCCTCGTCCTCCTCATCCCCATGATCCCACTCCTTTGCCTGCCTGTACAGCTCAGCAGCACGCGGGATCGCCACGTCACGCAGGGCAAGCGCCACGTCAGCCTCCCTCTCCAGCAACTCAGAAGCCGACAGGTGGACCGCCTCGTCACCAGCAAACGCCAGGTGGCAGCGATTGTCGTCAAACAGCTGGAAGAAGCTGCAGCAACGTTATGCAAACGGGGTAGATTGTAAGCGGGATAATGAAAAGCCCAGCGCCTCCAATCCATCAGCACATCAGCAGCATCAAATCAACACCAGCAGTCACAAGATTACTCGCAGAACAACCAAGGACAAGCCAGATCCTTTGCACCTCACATGGAGTAACACAGTCACTACTTGTGGCAGGTGGTACCTGAGGCAGGTGGTACCTGAGGCAGGTGGTACCTGGGGCAGGTGGTACCTGAGGCAGGTGGTACCTGGGGCAGGTGGTACCTGGGGCGGGTGGTACCTGGGGCAGGTGGTACCTGGGGCAGGTGGTACATGGGGAAGGTGATACCTGGGGCAGGGCTTGACTCGAAGCCGGCCTTTGCTGTCCTGCACCTCCTTCAGTGTCAACTCCATCCCTTCCTCCCACACAATCGGTGTCCTACATTCCACCCGAACCAACGCCCCAGCCTCGGCACCCGCCGAACCTCCTGCCCCGACGCCGCTGCCGCCACCACCCCTGCCTGCCCGGGTCCGGAAAAAATACGCCTTTGAAAGCACGCGATTGGCCATCCATTCCTTGCATCCGGGCAGGAACTCGAAATCTATCACAAACCCTGACTCCCCCTTCCCACACTCGGCCTTCTCACCCTTCCCTCCACCTCCTCCCCTTCCCCCATCCCCTCCCTCCTCCCCCTCCTCCACCGCCTCTCCCTCCTCTCTCTCCTCTCCTTCCTCTCCGCTGCCCTGAAGCGGCCTCCAGCGAATGTCAGAGAGGTGTGCGAGGAGCGGGTGGTCGCGGCGGCGAATGGTCTCGACAAGGCAGGGCACAGAGCGCAGGACCAGCAGCCAGAAGCGGGGGAGGCGGGCGAGGGAAGGGTCCCCACTGTGAGGGAAGGCGTAGAAAAGAGGGGGAAAATTGTAGTGGAAAGAGGTTGTGAAGGGTTGTGGCGGCGAATGGTCTCGACAAGGCATGGCACCGAGCGCAGGACCAGCAGCCAGAAGCGGGGGAGGCGGGCGAGAGAGGGATCACCACTGCATGTAGAAACGGAAAAAGGTGGAAAGAAGGGAGAAAGCATGGGGCATAAGGCATGGCCAAGGAGGGGTGGTCGCAGCGGGGAATGGTCTCGACAAGGCAGGGCACGGAGCGCAGGACCAGCAGCCAGAAGCGTGGGAGATGGGCCTGGGAGGGATCACCGCTGTGAGGGTTGAGAGTGGGAAGGGAGGGGAACAAGGGGGAAAAAGGGGGTCATAAGAGGCCTCCAGCGGACGTCAGAGAGGTGTGCGAGGAGGGGGTGGTCGCGCCGGCGAATGGTTTCGACAAGGCATGGCACGGAGCGCAGGACGAGCAGCCAAAAGCGCGGGAGGCAGGCAAGGGAAGGGACCCCACTGTGAGGGAAGGGGTAGAAAAGAGGGGGAAAATTGCAGTGGAAAGAGGTTGTGAAGGGTTGTGGCGGCGAATGGTCTCTGCGAGGCAGGGCACAGAGCGCAAGAGCAGCAGCCAGAAGCACGGGAGGTGGTCCAGAGAGGGGTCACCACTGCATATAAGGGAGATAGGAGAGGGGAAAGAGGGTGAAAGGCAAGGCATGAGTCAGGGGGCATGGAGGAGGGGGTGGTCATGGCGACGAATGGTCTCAACCAGGCATGGCACGGCGCGCAAGACCAGCAGCCAGAAGAGCGGGAGGTGGGCGAGGGAAGGGTCTCCACTCCACAGCATGTAAAAGGTGGAAAGTTGTGGAAGGAGGTGGAAAGAGGTGGAAGGAGGAGGAAAACAGGAGGTAGGCGTGAGGCAGGAGGCATGGAGGAGAGGGTGGGTCGCGGCGACGAATGATCTCAACTCAACGAGGCATGGCACGGCGCGCAAGACCAGCAGCCAGAAGCGCGGGAGGTGGGCGAGGGAGGGATCATGCTGTAGAGAGTTTGGAGTGGGAAAGAGGGTGGGAAGGAGAGAGGAAGGACGGGGAAGGAGGGGAGCAGAGGAGGCAGGCATAGGCAAAAGGTGTGGGCAAGGAGTGGGTGGTCTTGGCAGCAATTTTTGAGGCGCCTCAAAAACAGGCATGGGGCAGAAAATGTGTGCAAGGAGTGGGTGGTCTCTTGGCAGCGAATGGTCTCCTCTCCACTAGGCATCTCATGAGGCTCCTCAAAAGATGACTTGGGTGCCCTCTTTTGAAGCACGGCAAGGAGCGCAAGACAAGCAGCCAGAAGCCGGGGGAGAGAGGCAGGCCTCCAGCCAGGGGGGGGCGATCCCCAATGAAGATGGAAGAGAAAAGAGAAAAGGAACGGAGGATGGAAGGAAGAGAGGGAGCATTGGGACTAAGAACCACTCGGAGAGGCACGAGCAGCACCCTAGTCCCTATACCAGCCTGACTGTGGTTCAAGTCAAGACCCTTGCATTGTCACCAAAACACGCACCTGGCCAAATAAACACATCACACCATCTCAAATCATGCACAAACACACCTGTCAAGGGCCTTGGAGCCGATAACAACCGCCTTGCGCCGAGCAAAGATGCCGGAGGAGCGTTCGCTCAGCGAGGCGCGAGCAGCAGCAATGGCTGCTTCTCTTGCCCGCTCTGCCTGCTGCTGCTTCTGCTGCAGGTGCTTCAACGCTCTGATGGGTATGGAAGGGGGAAAGGAGGCAAGGAAAGAAAATGACGAGGAGACTGGGAAAGAAGGAAAGATGTGGCTACTGCTTCAGGCTTCTATGTCCCCTCTTGCCGCGACGGCAAGGCTTCGGGTAGACAATGCAAGAATGTATTTTTGAGTTGACTTAAGAAATAGGGTAGGCAGTGGAGGAATGAGGAACGAGGAAACCCTTCCTACTACTTAAAGGAAATGTGCGGAAAGGACAAGCACACACACACACACTGCACACAGGTTCTCAAATGCGCACTCTCTCTCACACTCTCTCTCTCTCTCTCTCTCTCTCTCTCTCTCTCTCTCTCTCTCTCTCTCTCTCTCTCTCTCTCTCTCACACACACACACACACACACACACACACCCACCTGATCCGGCGCCGAACCAGCCGATGAGGTCCGGAAGATGGGCGCCGAACGTGCTCGTACCCCTCCTCGTCTGCCACATCAGCATCATCATCATCAACACCACCACCCACCATGCCACCCTCCTCCTCCCCAAAGCCTGTGCTCGTGAACAAGTCAGCTGCCCTGGGCACCACCTGAGAGGGCATGTGTGCAGTAGGGAATGTGAGAAAAGGCAGGGGAAGGGGAGTGGGGAGGAGCGGAGAGACGAAGCATCATCATCACCACCACTGCCCCCCACGCGGCTCTCCTCCTCCCCAAAGCCTGTGCTCGTGAACAAGTCAGCTACCCTGGGCACAACCTGAGTGTTGAGAGAGAGTGGGAGGAGGGTTGGGGGGGGAGGGGGAAGGGGGGGGGGGGGGGGGGGGGGAAAGCAACATTAAGCTTTGTGATTCTTTGAAAGTTGTGTGTGCAGGTGCAAGGGGGCACGTGAAAGACTTTTGAGACGTCTCAAAAGGTGTAAGGGGGCAGGTGAAAGACTTTTGAGACGTCTCAAAAGGTGCAAGGGGGCAGTGAAAGACTTTTGAGACGTCTCAAAAGGTGCAAGGGGGCAGGTGAAAGAAGCAGCACTGAGTTTTGAGATGTCTTCAACTCTGTGCGAGGGTGAGCGTGAGACTAAAGATGCAAGCACTGACATTTTGCTGTCACCATCACCAAAACCACCACCACCTCACTGCGCCTCATTCCACCTCATAGGACCCCAGCAAGATCCGCCTCGTTGCACAGAGACAAAGCACAGCATAGCATAGCATACTGCACCGCATAGCATTCCACCACACTGAACCACTACTCATGTCATTGCGCACTGCCTGCCATATGTCCATCTTGCCAACAGATAACACACTGCAAAGACGGGCACACCTAGTTACCCCACCACACCACATCACACGCCTTTGCACCGCACTGAACCGGCACGCACCTCATTGCACAGCGCCTGCCACACGTCCATCTTGCCATCAGATAACAGCCACATGTAACCAGGTTACCCACCCAATCCGCTTCACATAATTCATTGTAAAATGTAGCACCTTACACCTTTGCACCGCACTGAACCGACACTCACCTCGTTGCACAGCGCTTGCCAGACGTCCATCTTGCCGTCAGATAACACCCGCTCCTGAGGCACCTTCAGAACCACCTCCCCCAGATCCTCCCCCCCAAACACAGGCATACCCTCCCACCCCCCCTCCTCTTCCTCCCCTTCCTCCTCGTCTCCCTCCTCCCCCTCATCTCCCTCCTCTCCGTCCCCGCCTCTGCTCCTCCCCCCCTTGCTGCTGTGCTGGGCTGTGGCTTTATTGCCTCGCATGTTGCGCGAGAGAGTGAAGAAGTTGAAGAAGGAAGGGCAAGGCTTGGTCTTGACTGTCGCAGGAGGCTCGGCTTCCCTACCTGCTCCTTTCTTCCCCTTGCCACCCTGTGATGGGAAAACAACAGCAGTGGAGGGCAAGAAAAAAGGAGAAAGGGTCTGTGTGATCAATCGTTGCTGTTGACTAGGGGATCTAAGATGGAAACTTTTGACCAAGCAACCTTTGAGTCGACACAAAAGGTCACTAGCCGTGGCACCACTAGAAGACAAAGACTACAAGATAATGGTGTGATGTCACAGCTAAAGGGCCAGCTGCAAGACACAGCAAGTCATTTAGAGAACTGGAAGCGCGGCATTGATGGGCTGAAGGAGTACGATGACAACCGGTGGAGTCCGATCAAGGCGATTAAACAGATGAAATGTGAGCCGACAGCGCAGATTAGCTAGAGCAAAAGAGGAAGCGGAACAGGCCTGAAAGTGGGGGTGATGGCGGACAGGAGAGGCGTGAGGAGAGAACCAACAGCTCACACTTCATCTCTTTGATTTTCTCAGCTCGTCGCCACCGCTTCTTGTTGCAATCCTTCAGCAAGCGCTTAAGCCCGTCTATATCCATATGATGCACTACGTTTCGCAGCTAGCCCTCCGGCTGCGACACCACTGTCTTGCTGTAAACATGAGCACGAGAGGGGCTCGCACTTCTTTCGAGTCGGGGCTAAGGGGAGTCGGCCTGTGTCGTCAATTGGCTTATGGCTGAAGCATATTACCCGAGCCCGTGTTGGGCAAGAGAACATGAACGCGAGCGAGCAAATAACTTGCAGAAGGAAAAGCTGGGATTGCTCTTGAATGCGACAGGGGGGTTGGCATTCATATAATATATCCAATCAACCCTTTTCATCCCCTCTCCTACTAGCATCGAATAGTTTATTATCCAATCAGGCTAGTTCATCAACTGACCAGGCCCAACTCATCTTCACCTTCCTCCCAGCCTTCACAAGCTGCCTTAACAGACAATAATGTATTCGATAGCTTTGCTGACCCAGTCCCCGAACTCACCTTTCCCTTTTTCCCGGACTTCACAATCTGTCGCAGAGTCAGATTCTTCTCAACGCCCTTCCACTGAATCTCTGACACCTCTTTCACCACCACCACCGATCCTCCCCCTGCCCCTCCGCCCCCTTCCCCCTCTTCTTCCCCCATTTCCCCCTCGTCTCCCCCTCCTCCTGTAGCCATCTCCACTGTCTCGATATAGAGCGATTTGTTAGAGAAGAACGCGTTGGGGCCGAAGTGTAGCTCCAGCCGCGTGACTGTACCGCCTGTGCCCTTATCAGAGGCACCCCCGCTGTTGTCACCAGCAGCTTTAACAAAGCGAACCCGCACGTCCCTTAGGCTCTCCAATGCCTCCTCGTCCCGCTTGTGAATGAACTCCGCTACAGCATCCTGTGATGGCAGAAAGGGGAGGGCAGGGGAGGGGAGGGGAGGGGAGAATAGAGTGAGGCAGTTCACAGGACTATCCGCACACGCACGTTCCTTTAGGCTCTCCAATGCCTCCTCATCCCACTTGTGAATGAACTCCGCTACGGCATCCTGTGAGGGCGGGCGGGTAGAGAAGAGGGGAAGGGAGTGATGGGAGAGAAGGGAGGTGATAGGGACAGGGAGAGTGAGCAGCCAGAGGAAAAGACAAGTCTGAGGCCTTCAGCAGCTCTGCATACAAGGGTGCAGCAGGCCTGGACGTGGGGATGGTGTGGTAAGTGGGGGGTGAGAAATAACCAAGACAACAAACAAGATGCCTTCAGCAGGGCTCATAACAGTATATAAATTCCAATGTATAACCTCAAAAAACGAATTCCAATGTTTCTTCAAGACTGTGAGCCAGAACTCGAGCACGCCGTTTTGAGGCGCCTCAAAACTCAACACAAGGATTAACGCACATGTTTTTTCACGACTGTGAGCCAGAACTTTTGAGGCGTCTCAAAAGTGAGCACGCCTTTAGTTTTGAGGAGCCTCAAAACTCAACACAAGGATTAACGCACATGCTTTTTCACGACTGTGAGCCAGAACTTTTGAGGCGCCTCAAAAGTGAGCACGCCTTTAGTTTTGAGGAGCCTCAAAACTCAACACAAGGATTAACGCACATGTTTTTTCACGACTGTGAGCCAGAACTTTTGAGGCGCCTCAAAAGTGAGCACGCCTTTAGTTTTGAGGAGCCTCAAAACTCAACACAAGGATTAACGCACATGTTTTTTCACGACTGTGAGCCAGAACTTTTGAGGCGCCTCAAAAGTGAGCACGCCTTTAGTTTTGAGGAGCCTCAAAACTCAACACAAGGATTAACGCACATGTTTTTTCACGACTGTGAGCCAGAACTTTTGAGGCGCCTCAAAAGTGAGCACGCCTTTAGTTTTGAGGAGCCTCAAAACTCAACACAAGGATTAACGCACATGTTTCTTCAAGACTGTGAGCCAGAACTTGGGCACGTCTTTAGGCGCCTTCGCCACCCTCCCTCCTTGCTGCTGCTCTCCTCCTCCCTCCTCCTCCTCTTCCTCTTCATCTTCCTCGTCTGGGTCTGCAACGGCTGCCTCCTCCTCTGTCGGCTCTGAATCTCCACACACGATTTGCTTTCGCCTCTGAAATGCACAAACAGATTTTGACAGGTGGATGAAAAGATAATTGGATTAACGGACGGATTTCCACGTCCACGAAAACAACACATGTATTCAAGACATGCATGCATATGATAGATCAATGAGCCGGAAGTGGGGGATTAATTGGATGAAATCTGGGGATGCCCGGAGAGAGATTACCTCGAAGAGCGGGTCGCATGTTCGCTGATAAGCCTTAAGAGCCTTGGACACATCCTCGTTATAGACGGATTCCAGTTTGTCGTACTCCTCCTGTGGAAAAAAAAAGAAAAAGAAGAAGAAAAAAAAAAAAGCGTGACACAAAAATGGTGAAACAAGGAGATTGAAGTGACGAAACAATTGTTGACCCAGATCGGAATCAGAACAGCGACTCAACACAGGTAGCGACTTCCACGTGCGTCGTTGCATTCGATAGCTGGAGCTCCTCTAGCAGCTGACGGAAAGCAGGGAGATATAGACCTATCCTGCAGCTTCATATGCTCGTCTACCGGATTTACGGCTGCGCCTTCGCGCCTCAACTTCACGCCTTGCCGAGACAGAGCAACGCAAGCGACTGAGTACTCAACTCAAAAACCAAATCGAGGGTGACAGAGGGCTGACCTGCAGTTTCATAAGTCGTCTAGCGGATCCATGACTGCAGTACGGGTGTCTCGTTGAGACAGAGGAACGCAGGTGACTTTTGAGTCGAATCTAAGATTAAAACCGCAGGTGAGAGAAGGCTGACCTGCAGCTTCATAAGCTCGTCAAGCGGATCCATGTCTGCTGTTTCACGCCTCGTCGACACGCCTCGTCGAGACAGAGCAACGCAAGCGACGAAAGATTCTGATTCCAGATGGTATTCCCAGGATTCTGATACCGAGCAACACGGGAAAGCCGAGAAATGGAGGGCGGTATTCGAGGCAGCGTCCTGAGGGATTCCGTTTTGGAAAATGAAATTTCAGGTCGTAATAGAATAAAACTCAGTAAACTGAACTTCCGCGTGGTAATCTGAACGGCCCCCTCAAGAGCTGCTGGAAGATTTTTCCGCTGAACGCACGACTGCCGTCCGCTGCTAGATTAACTTTTCCAGCAACAAGCTCTTCTAGGCATCCATGGTTGTTCAGTGTGCTGCATCCATGGTTGTTCTGTGTGCTGCGTCCATGATGGTGCTCCAATGATGCAATCCCAAGGTAGCATGAAAAAACTAGTGAAGCAGCGAACATAGTGTTGCCCTAACACATCCAAGGGTACGATTGGAAATGCTCTCTACATTGTGTTCTGGTATTCCATGGTGTTTCCACATCGTTTTGTAACAAACGGCAGCGTAGATCGCTTTCTGGTAGAAATTTCATGGGCCAGTGTCGGTAGGGTAATTTACAGCAATCTGACAACCTGAAAACTGAGGTAAGATCCATCAGCAACTCGGAAAGGGTACACTCACAAAGCAAACAGAATGTGCCCCGCTTCCAAACCTCCGAGTTACCAGACGTTCTATTGCAGTTCAGCAGTTTCGTACAGCATACTACAAGTCTTAGCAAGGCAAGCTACAGCGAGGATTAAACTTAACCAACAAATTGTATATACAGCAGACACACAACTTTTCACTCCACTTCTAATCTAAGGTATGGAAAGCAGGAAGAGCAATGCAGCACTTCTGCTTGTCCTTCAACAATAGGCACTGGCCTTCTTTGTCCCACTCCAAATCACCAACAGCCATGCCGTCCCGCACTCGAAATGTAGATGCCGAACTACTACTCACCTTTTCCTTTTGTACTACTGTCTTTGCTGCCTCAACACCATCAACCCCTTCATTGCTTCCACCACCATCAACCCTTTTCTTGCTTCCACCATCGCTTACTTTTACCGGCTTCCACGTAAATAAATGTGGTGTACCGGAGCAGAATGCAATGCAAGGAACTGACGGGTGCCAGGCTGCCGCTCTGATTGGCTGCCGCTGCAGTAGCACCGCCGCCAGCTCAAACTTGCGCCGAGCCGCCCAGATCCAAAGGACGGTTGGGATGTCATCGCAGCGGGTGGCTAGATACTCCCCATCAGCACTCCACTGAATGAGGCCTGGAGGGAGGAAGAGGATGGAGGGGGAGGGGGACAGGGGTGGGGATTGGTGGGGTGTTTGGGTCGGGATGTCATCGCAATGCGTGGCTAGACACTCCCCGTTGGCACTCCACTGAACGGCCTGCAGGGGGAAAAGTGGATGGGGAGTTGGGAGTTGTGGGTGGAGTGTTTGAAAGAAAGAAAGTCAGCAATTGCAGCCAACTGGTCCTCTCTCACCCTGGTACTTGGCCCCTGGCAGGGGAAAAAAGAGGAGAGGAGCGGAGGGGAGAGGAGAGGAGGGGAGAGGGGCGGAGGGGAGAGGAGAGGAGGGGGGAGGAGAGGAGGGGGGAGGAGATGAGGGGAGAGGAGAGGAGGGGAGAGGAGAGGAGGGGGAGGAGAGGAGGGGGGAGGAGAGGAGGGGAGAGGAGAGGAGGGGATAGGAGAGGAGGGGGGGTAGGAGAGGAGGGGGAGGAGAGGAGGGGAGAGGAGAGGAGGGGAGAGGAGAGGAGGGGAGAGGAGAGGAGGGGAGAGGAGAGGAGGGGAGAGGAGAGGAGGAGGAGAGGAGAGGAGGGAGGAGGAGAGGAGGGGGGAGGAGAGGGGAGGAGAGGAGAGGGGGGAGAGGAGAGGAGGGGAGAGGAGAGGAGAGGAGGGGAGAGGAGAGGAGGGGAGAGGAGAGGAGGGAGAGAGGGAGAGGAGGAGGAGGGAGAGGAGAGGAGGGGGGAGGAGATGAGGGGGGAGGAGAGGGGGGGAGAGGAGAGGAGGGGAGGGGAGAGGAGAGGAGGGGAGAGGAGAGGAGGGGAGAGGAGAGGAGGGGGAGGAGATGAGGGGGGAGGAGAGGAGGGGAGAGGAGAGGAGGGGAGAGGAGAGGAGGGGAGGGTAGAAGAGCGGAGAGGAGAGGAGGGAGAGGAGAGGAGGGGGAGGAGAGGAGGGGGAGGAGAGGAGGGGGGAGGAGAGGAGGGGGGAGGAGAGGAGGGGGGAGGAGAGGAGGGGGGGGGAGGAGAGATCTCCGCAAAGCTCAGGCAATCTCAGTCAATTTCAGCCAATCCTAGGCAATCTCAGCCAATCCCATCCAACCAGCCCCAGCCGATCCCAGAAGCTACCAGTCACTGCAACCACAATCTTACCAACTCCTTGTTTTGGGTTGGGCTTGTCAACTGGAGGCTTCTGGACGGGCAGCTGAACAGGCAGCTCAAGCACCTGGTACGAAACGATTTCCTCATCTTCCTCCTCATTAGCATCTGTAAAACGTGAAAGAGCGGGTTGATAACACACACACACACACACACACACACACACACACCACACACACACACACACACACACACACACACACCACACACACACACACACACATGTTGTTGCGTTCCTTCGCAAGTTATATATTCCTATCTGGTATTGAAGATTGATAATGCCGTGTCTCTTTGTGAATCAACGACATTCCCAATGGCCCCAGAAATATCCTACATGGTATGACACTACACATGGTATGAGGACAAAACGCAAGTGGTATAAGGACAAACGTCACGTGGTATCACATCGCATAATATCAAGACGCAACACATACAGTATTAGGACACAACTGAACGCACCTGGTGCCATGGTGGTGGCTGCTTCTGAGACCCCAAGGCGTTCCTGAGGAGTAGGTGGAGTGGAGTGATGAAACGTAAGGGGTGGAAAGGAGTTGAAAGGGGTGGGCTTTGAGTCGACTCAAAAGCACTGGTGGTGGCTGCTTCTGAGACCCCAAGGCATTCCTGAGGAGCAGGGGGGGTGGAGTGAGGCGAGGCGAGTGAGTGATGAAACGAAAGGAGCAGAAAGGGGTGATAAGGGGTGGAAAGGGATGGGAAGGGATGAGACGGGCAGGGCTGTTAAATATCACAAACCATTGTGCAGTTGCAACACATGTTGTAATATATTACTTTAAAAAGGCTAGCTGTTAGGACTTGTCAACTGATAATATTTTGTACGATCAGCATGTCCTTTAGGACGCGTCACATGTCCAACACCGATCCCGTGAAATATCGGTGTGCAGCATCTACAGTGTATTCGCCATTTCGTGAAAGACATGTATCCCGTTGTCGTTAAGCGTGTCGCGAAAAATCGTGCACACGCAAAAAACCCCAGATCGGATGGCTCAAACTGCCACATCGATCGTGCGATTGACAGAGCGGGAATCGATGTCGCGCCACCAGTTCCAGCCACGATCGATCGCCGTCGCATACCGTCGGCCACGTTCGATGTGGTAACCGGGGGGACATCGCAAACAGTCGGTGGGCTACACCTGCGCTGTGTGAGCGCGTCGTCACAAGCCTAGCGATTGTTGTGCGACATGCCAGCGAAGGACGGCTCATGCGCCAGCAGCTTTGGTGTACATTTGGCATGGAGCACCCAACTTGCAAAACCGGTCGTGTCACACTTGGCTCGGGGAAGCAGCCAACACTGCTCCGTCAGATTGATTCCCTTTTTTCGTACGCGATGCACACAAATTCGGTGTTTGGAGCCGATCATGCCCCGGTGTTGTACATGTGACGCGTCCTTAGCACAAGCATACTTCTCTCGCTCTCACACACTCACACTCACACACACACACTCCACATACCTCGTACACCACAGCTGAGGCAGCCAGTGGGCTTTTGACAGCTGGCACATGCGGCAGCTCCACTACAGGCCGCCCGTCCGCCGCCCGGAACACTCTTAGCAGGCGGTCGGCCGAACAGCCCGCCGCCACCAGAGCACCTGAAGAAGCACCTGACAGAGCACCTGAAACGTCGCCTATGCTGCTGCTGCTGCTGCTGCTGTTAGCGTTGCTGTGGGCAATGGAGCCAGGAGCAGCGCCAGGTGAAAATCCAGGGGAGGGGGCAACAGCCCTGACCCCCAGTCCTGGCCAGGGCAGCTCAATGCGTGCTTGAGGCTCTCCAGATGGAGAGAAGAGGAGCAACTGGTGGAAGCAAGAGAATGGGTTGGGATGGGTAGAAAAAGGGGGCGTGAGGAGGTGTTGCGAGTAAATGGACAAGGGGACTGAGTCAACAGCCCTGACACCCCGGCCAGGCCAGAGCAGCTCTATGCGTGATTGGGGCTCGCCAGAGGAGGAGAGGAGCGGCAGATGGTGGGGTTGAAGGGGGTTGAGAGAGAGTAGAGATGGGAAAAGGGGGATGTGAGGAGGTGTTGAGAGTAATTGGCAAGGTGACTAATTGAACGGCCCTGCTTGGGGCTCGCCAGAGGGGGAGAAATAAGAAGAGCAGCAGCTGGTGGGGTTGAGGGTGTGTGGTGTAAGCGGAGGAGGAGGAGAGGGGAGAAATAGGGGGAATAATGAGGCTCTATAAAATGTAGCTGAAATCACGTTCTCTGACAATCAACAGCAGCCAATCGACTTCTGTTGTCCAAGATTGCTCACGTACCCTGAATTCCATCGGGTGATCCCAGACGATAACCCCGCTGCCCTCAGCCGCCCATGCCACGTCAGCAGCGTCCACAGTGTCCGTGCGGAAGCAAACCACCTCCTGCCACGTGTCACAGGCGTACAGGCTCACCACGTCACGACTCTGCCCTGCCGCTCCCCCTCCCCCTCCCCCTCCCCCTCCCCCTCCCCCTCCCCCTCCCCCTCCCCTCCTCCCACTACTGCAGCAGATGCTCTTCTAGCTCCTCCCCTCGCCTCTGTTCTGCCTCCTTGCGGCCCTCCCACCCCAACAGCAGAGCTCTCACTCGTTCTTCTAGCATTGGCACTACCAGCAGCACCAGCAACACCACCAGCAGCTGCCCCAGATTCTGTAGCCCCAGCAGCAGCAGGGGTGGCAGCGGCAGGTGGCATGTTTTGATTGGATGGGAGTGAGTGGAGGGCTGCTAGGAGGAGGTGGTTGGGAGAGAAGGCGAGAGCGCGTATGGGGTGCTTGGGCAGGGGGATGTGCACCGGGTGGGACTGGCTGTGGGGTGGGGAAGGAAGGGAGAAAGGAAAAAAGAGCAGAGGGGATGTATGTACTAGGCAATGGAACGGAGGAGGTGGTTGGGGGAGAAGGCGAGGGCGCGGACAGGGTGCTTGGGCAGGGGGATGTGCACCGGGGGGGACTGGCTGTGGGGTGGATGAGGGAGGGAGAGGGGACGAAGGAGAGGGAAAGAAAAGGAAGGAGGCAGGAGGAGGAAAAGGGAGGAAGAAGCAGAGTGAATGTGTTTGGACGAAGGAGGTGGTTGTGGGAGAAGGCGAGGGCACGTATGGGTGCTTGGGCAGGGGAATGTGAACTGGGGGAGAGTGGCTGTGGGGTTTGGCAGCGGAGGGAGAAGAGAGGAAAACAACAGAGTGGGTTGGAGGAGGAGGAGGAGGAGGAGGAGGAAGACGGTTTTAGCCACTGGAACAAACGAAGTCGATGGTTGGAAGGGAAGTTGAGGGTGTTAAGGCAGGGAGGGGTGCACTGTGGCGGGGAGTGGTTGAGTGAGATGAGAGGGCTAGGTGGCTGGCAAAGGAGGAAAGGGGGTGTGGAAAGGTTTGGCCGAACGGGGTGCTCTGGCGGTGGGATGCGGTGCTTAGTGGTATGGGCGAACAGGGAGCTTCGCTTGCGCTTTTGGCACTGGAGGCCACGCATGTATAGGGTGTTTCGGCGCGGAAATCATTCCAAGATAGTCACCTGGTGTGTGGAGTCCGGAGCCCATGAGGCGTGCGCAGGCCTGCTGTCTCCTCCTCGTGCATGTAGAAGTGACATTCGATATAGTCACCTGTAAGCCACATCCCGATTAGTTACCTCGAATTCACATTCCGTATAGTCACATGCAGCCTGTGGTCCGAGGAGAGCAGCAGGTAGGTGGAGTCCGGAGCCCAAGAAGCGTGCAGCAGACCTGCTGTCTCGTCCTCGTGCAAGAAGTAACAATCTGTATAGCTATATGGTCACCTGGAACCCACCTCCCGTATGCTCACCTCGATGTCACATTCCATATTGTCACACGCAGCCTGTGGTCCGAGGAGAGCAGCAGGTGGGTGGAGTCCGGAGCCCATGAGGCGTGCAGCAGGCCTGCTGTCTCGTCCTCACGCACTGTAGCGGACCAGTCAGGGAGAGCCATGGCCCACACCTGAAGGGAAGGAGCCGAGGGGCAGATGGGAGGGTTGGGGTGTGCGTGGGGACTGAGGGGCCCATGAGGCGTGCAGCAGGCCTGCTGTCTCGTCCTCACGCACTGTGGCGGACCAATCACGGAGTGCCACGGCCCACACCTGAAAAGAAGAGGGTTTTCATACGTATTAAGGGAAAGGAATGGGAGGGAAAGACGGTATTTCATATGTGATAAGGGAGGGAAACTGAGGGTGCGAAGTGAGGGGCCCATGAGGCGTGCAGCAGGCCCTGTAGCTTACATCCCTGAAGCTTACATGAACTGTAGCTTGTGAGTAACAAGCTGCAAACACCATTGTGGAATCTGGAGCCCATTCAACGGCTGAGATTGGGCCTGTGCAGGTGCACGTTCGGAGGTCCTGTAGTTGAATTGAGTGGGCGCATACAGGGGACAGGGATCACGGATCGGCAGGCAGGGAGGGGAGGAGACGGGGCGCAAGAGAAGGGAGTTGGATGGCTATCGGACAAAACAACAGACGCTTTATTCGTTTCAGAAACATGGTAGAAACTCAATGAACTAGCATTCTCGAAGATATTTTCGTGCAGACTGCTGGTTCAACTTGTTAGCGCCATATGCATGCGATGGTTATAAAAAACAGAAACAGATTACTTGCCTCGTGAGACGGTACGGAGCGCAGGTGCAGCTTCTTCCCCTGCGCGACGGCGAGGCACCGACCATCAGGAGATAGGCTGCAGGCGCCGGAGTGAGGCAGCACCTCTGCTACATCCATTTCAGATGGGTTAAGGCAAGAATGCTTGCTTGTAGACAGATTCGGACAAGGATGCTTGACGGGTTAGCGTGCGAGGTTAAGATGTTATATTCACTTCCGCTATGTCCAACGGAGTTGGATCAGGACAATGATGCTTCAAGGTGTCGGAGGACCTTAGTTATCAAACTGACCTAAGACTAAGTCTAAAGAAAAGCGAGAAAAGCGTCGGAAAACCCGAGGGAGGTGGGGGGAAATCGGAACGCGTGTTGCAGAAGACGGAAATACCAAAATTGTCCATTCTTGGGAATGCCCAAGGCCTTCACCTACGTAGGATTCAAAAGTTGTTGAAAAGCGCGCGAAGAATGTGACTGCAGCGAGGAGACGAGCTGTCAGAGTGCGACAAAGCTGTTTGCTGTGAGATGCGCTTGCAGCTTGAGCATGACAGAGCGGAACAAAAAGTGTATAATTATTTCTGTTTCCTAAAGTTCATATTTATGTATCCTCACATCAACTGAACTATGAATTTCCATAAAAAAAACTATTTCAAAAGGTATTTTTTTCCTTATCAATATTTATTTTTATTTTTATCATATATAAACACCACATATGTTTTAAATTCAAATGCACTATCAGCACTTTGCTAGGTTCTAGACAGAAGCGGCTTAACCTATGAACATGTGAGGCGAGCTTTTCAGCCAAAATAGTAGTTCTCAAGGCGCTCGCTCTCTCCCACTCACCCCCGTGAAACCGGGGTCTTCGGAGAACCTAGGGCGCTCGCTACGAGCAATTTAATTTCCATTTGATACAATAGCTCTGTCTCCGTGACTGACTGACGACGGAACTGGCTTAGCAGCTCGAGGAAGAAGGCATCACGTTCCAGTTGTGAGCATGGTCACGCGCTCAGCTAGTTTCTGCAACTGGTTGTGTACCCGCCGCTATGAGCAGCAGCGTCACGAGCGCAGCTAGATTAGTGTTAAATCTTCCAGCTCAGTTAGATTGTTAAGCTTTTCAGCGCAGCTTTGATTGCATGATCAAGCCATCGCGTACGCCATGAATTTAGTTAGCCTCTGACAATTCTCGCCTCAACTTATCTCATAATCAGCCCATCGCGCGCGCAGTGCCATGAGCAGCGTTGAGCCTTTCCGTCGGTACGTGCTCGCTCGTGTTGCCTCTGTAGTGCTCTCGCTATTGTCACAAGCATTACCGCTCGCTGTTGTCTTCGCTGCACACAGGCGCAGTGGCTTGTGCGAATGGACCAACTCTTTTTGTCTGCTTTCTTGCACCAGTTACTCCTCATCCTGTTGTGAGTTTTCAGAAATTTTCAAAGTGTTGCAAGTTCAGGCTGATGGGACCAGTGGCTAGTGATACAGCCAAATTCTTCTACCTTGCACTTTCTTTTTTTTTCTGCCCGCGCTCTGCTCTTGCAGGCTGGTGAAGCTCGTGGCTCGCGCATTTTACGACGACGATGTAACGGATGAGAAAGACAAGGATAAAGACAAGGAGAAGGAGAAGGAGAAAGAGAAGGAGAAAGACAAGGGCGGCAGTCGCAAGGCAGAGCGGATATGCGGAGGGGAGACCAAGGGACTCACTATAGTCGTCCTCGATGCCCTTACAAGGTACACTGTATTTTCCTTTGTTTTCCTTATCTTCCTGGCTGGTGAAGATCAAGAGTCGATGTTGGTACATTGTCATGGCTTTAAGAACCCCCCTCTCTCCCCATCAACAGGCGGCAGTGGATGCAAGAGGAAGTGCTGGCACGGCAGCTGCATCTGAGTTGCTCATTTGACAATGCCACCTTGCCCCCTGTTTCCCCCCTCATTCTTTATCTCTCTGTTCACCATCACCACCCACCCACCAGGCGGCAGTGGATGCGGGAGGAGGAGCTGTCACTTCATCTGCGTCTGCAGAGTTGGCTTGGCTGCTGCACCCCCGTTTCTTGCAAAACCTTCCTCGCTCCCTTTCTCTCTCTCCCCCTTGCCAGGCGGCAGTGGATGAGAGAGGAGGAGCTGGCACGGCAGCTGCATCTGCATCCGAAGCAGCTGAGTTGCTCATATGGCAATTCCTGTTTTCCCCAAATCATTTGCTCTCCCTCCACATTCCCCCACGAACAGGAGGCAGTGGATGCGGGAGGAGGAGCTGGCATGGCAGCTGCATGTGCCCCCGAAGCAGCTGAGTTGCTCGTATAGCAATGTTGTTTCCCCCTTGTTCTTTATCTCTCACCTCCCACCAGGCGGCAGTGGATGCGGGAGGAGGAGCTGGCACGGCAGCTGCATCTGCACCCGAAGCAGCTGAGGCGGACGCTGAAGATGCTGGAGGAGGAGATGATGATCGTGCGGGAGCACAGGAAGGAGGTGAGAGCGGTTTTGAGGAGTACATATGTGTTACAATGTGCTACGGTGGCGTGGTGTGGTGAGTGGTTAGTCACTTCAAGTGCTGTGGTATGCAGACCAGTAGAATAGACAAGAAGTAGAGGCAGGAGATTGTGGAGAGCAACAAGCTGTGCGCGCCCCTTTTGATGTATTCTTCCTCTTCTTCTCTCCCTCGACGCATTTTGACGTGTCCTCAAAAGCTTTTTGACGTGTTGAGGCGCCTCAAATGCTTGCTTTTTGCTTGCTGTGCTTTTTGTGGTTTTACTTTTTTTTTTTTTTGTTTTTTTTCCCATTTGATGTGTTCTCCCTCTTTTCCTCTCCCTCAATGTTGTACCCGAAAACCCAACCTTGTGATCCTATGCAGAACACGAGAGCAGCCAAGAAACAGAAGCAGGAGGGGGATGAGGGGAAGGAAGGGGAGGGCGAAGGCGAGGCGTCGAAGTGGGAAGGGAAGCCTGGGCAGAAGCCAAAGCAGCACTCCCACTCCTACTGCTGTCTGCACTACCCCCAGGTGGGTTTGTTTCAGCCTTATTCACTATTGAGACGCCTCGAGAGGAGGGGAAGGAAGGGGAGGGCGAAGGGGAGGGGTCGAAGTGGGAAGGGAAGCCGGGGCAGAAGCCAAAGCAGCACTCCCACTCCTACTGCTGCCTGCACTACCCCCAGGTATGTGCTTTACAGTTTCCGATGGGCCTCAGAAGCACTGCCACTCCTACTGCTGCCTGCACTACCCGCAGGTGGGTTTTGTAACAACCTTTCTTACATACATTATTCTCCACTTGCATAATAGACATTCCGAGTTTCTGCAAAGGTGCTAAATTTACAAACATTGGGCGGTATTACATGCATCGAGAAAAAAACAGACAGCAGTCAATAACGGACCAAGTTTTGGGGACACGCACACGCACGAATTCTGTTCTGGGAAAAGTTGTTAGCAAGTTTTGAGGCGCCTCAAAAGGTGGCAGGTTTGACAACATTTTGCAACACCGCATGCACCAGGCAAAGACAGGCAGCAGTCACGAACGAGCCAAGCACACGATTCCAGGTAAATGGATGCTTTCGCAGTATCGAGTCCACTGGGCAAAGAAAGGGTTTTTTTTCTAGAATTTTCAAAGATCGGGGTGTAAAAAAAATGAGTCGTTGTGCGGTATCGCGTCCACTGGGCAAAGAAAGCGATAGAAGAAAGCTACAGAAGAAAGCTACAGAAGAAAACGACAGAAGAAAGCTACAGAAGAAAGCGACAGAAGAATTCGATAGAAGTTAACCTGAACACCCAATGGAGCCCCTTTTTGTTCCTCCCATCCATTTACCTTCCGTCTGTACCCCACCCTGGTGTATGCGATGAAGGCCATAAAGGACGAGCAGCACCCCTGCATGGAGGTGATGCACCTGCTATGCCAGGCACATTGACCTCCCTCCTGTTCCTCCCGCCCGCCACTGGCTTGCCACTTGCCTCCCAACCTGGCAGATCTATGATGTGGTGAGGTACCGGATACACCGGGCGAAGAAGGCCATAAAGGACGAGCTGGACAGCCGATCAAGCCTGGGGTTTTGTTGCTGGCTAATTGATTCTGCATTCACCACTTGCCTCCCAACCTGGCAGATCTATGATGTGGTGAGGTACCGGATACACCGGGCGAAGAAGGCCATAAAGGACGAGCTGGACAGCCGATCAAGCCTGGGGTTTTGTTGCTGGCTAATTGATTCTGCATTCACCACTTGCCTCCCAGCCTGGCAGATCTATGATGTGGTGAGGTACCGGATACACCGGGCGAAGAAGGCCATAAAGGACGAGCTGGACAGCCGATCAAGCCTGGGGTTTTGTTGCTGGCTAATTGATTCTGCATTCACCACTTGCCTCCCAACCTGGCAGATCTATGATGTGGTGAGGTACCGGATACACCGGGCGAAGAAGGCCATAAAGGACGAGCTGGACAGCCGATCAAGCCTGGGGTTTTGTTGCTGGCTAATTGATTCTGCATTCACCACTTGCCTCCCAGCCTGGCAGATCTATGATGTGGTGAGGTACCGGATACACCGGGCGAAGAAGGCCATAAAGGACGAGCTGGACAGCCGATCAAGCCTGGGGTTTTGTTGCTGGCTAATTGATTCTGCATTCACCACTTGCCTCCCAACCTGGCAGATCTATGATGTGGTGAGGTACCGGATACACCGGGCGAAGAAGGCCATAAAGGACGAGCTGGACAGCGGATCAAGCCTGGGGTTTTGTTGCTGGCTAATTGATTCTGCATTCACCACTTGCCTCCCAACCTGGCAGATCTATGATGTGGTGAGGTACCGGATACACCGGGCGAAGAAGGCCATAAAGGACGAGCTGGACAGCCGATCAAGCCTGGGGTTTTGTTGCTGGCTAATTGATTCTGCATTCACCACTTGCCTCCCAACCTGGCAGATCTATGATGTGGTGAGGTACCGGATACACCGGGCGAAGAAGGCCATAAAGGACGAGCTGGACAGCCGATCAAGCCTGGGGTTTTGTTGCTGGCTAATTGATTCTGCATTCACCACTTGCCTCCCAACCTGGCAGACCTATGATGTGGTGAGGTACCGGATACACCGGGCGAAGAAGGCCATAAAGGACGAGCTGGACAGCCGATCAAGCCTGGGGTTTTGTTGCTGGCTAATTGATTCTGCATTCACCACTTGCCTCCCAACCTGGCAGATCTATGATGTGGTGAGGTACCGGATACACCGGGCAAAGAAGGCCATAAAGGACGAGCTGGACAGCCGATCAAGCCTGGGGTTTTGTTGCTGGCTAATTGATTCTGCATTCACCACTTGCCTCCCAACCTGGCAGATCTATGATGTGGTGAGGTACCGGATACACCGGGCGAAGAAGGCCATAAAGGACGAGCTGGACAGCCGATCAAGCCTGGGGTTTTGTTGCTGGCTAATTGATTCTGCATTCACCACTTGCCTCCCAACCTGGCAGATCTATGATGTGGTGAGGTACCGGATACACCGGGCGAAGAAGGCCATAAAGGACGAGCTGGACAGCCGATCAAGCCTGGGGTTTTGTTGCTGGCTAATTGATTCTGCATTCACCACTTGCCTCCCAACCTGGCAGATCTATGATGTGGTGAGGTACCGGATACACCGGGCGAAGAAGGCCATAAAGGACGAGCTGGACAGCCGATCAAGCCTGGGGTTTTGTTGCTGGCTAATTGATTCTGCATTCACCACTTGCCTCCCAACCTGGCAGATCTATGATGTGGTGAGGTACCGGATACACCGGGCGAAGAAGGCCATAAAGGACGAGCTGGACAGCCGATCAAGCCTGGGGTTTTGTTGCTGGCTAATTGATTCTGCATTCACCACTTGCCTCCCAACCTGGCAGATCTATGATGTGGTGAGGTACCGGATACACCGGGCGAAGAAGGCCATAAAGGACGAGCTGGATAGTCGCAAGGAGGTCATGTACCTGCTGTGCCCCAACCCGCACTGCAAGGCCAGGTGGGTGGTGCCGTTTCATGCTTTGTTGTGTGCTGTTTTTCAGGGTAATCGACTGTGCTTTGAGGTGCCGCCTCACAGGGCTGGATAGTCGCAAGGAGGTCATGTACCTGCTGTGCCCCATCTCGCACTGCAAGGCCAGGTAGGGTGTGTTTCATGGCTCTCCCCATTGCTGTTGCTCCACTGCGGGCTGTTTGGGAGAGTGGTCTACAGTGCTTTGAGGGCTATGACGCCGCAAGGAGGTGATGTACCTGCTGTGCCCCAACCCGCACTGCAAGACCAGGTGGACACTTCCGCACAGCTCCGCTCGCTGTTGCTTGCTCCCCCCGCTGCTGGTGGTGCTCTATTTGAGTGCTGTGTGGGAGTGTGTTTCACTGTGCTTTGAGTCGTCAATATTTATGGAAATCACTTTTGAGAATTCTCAAAAGTGATTTCAATACTGCTGGTGCTTTATTTGAGTGCTGTGTGGGAGTGTGTTTCACTGTGCTTTGAGTCTTCATCTCACAGGGCTGCACAGCCGCAAGGAGGTGATGCACCTGCAGATAACCTCGTCCCGCACTGTGCCACGACCCGCACTGCAAGGCCAGGTGAGTGTCTCTGTGCTCGCTGTTCCCACCGTGGGTGTTGCCCCATTGATTGCTGCTTGGGAGGGTGGTTCATTCATTGCGCTTTGAGTCGTGCACTCAAGTGCGAGCGATGCCGCTCAGAGCTGGAGGCGGAATCAGACATTTTGGGAGGAGGAGGGGGAGGGGGAAGGGAGGGAGGAAGGTTTTCTTTTACCCTTTGTATCTGACTTCTCCTCCCCGTCCCTCCCTGTCAGGTACTCCACACTGGATACAGACTGACTCATCGATCCAGTTGACTTCAATCTCAAGTGCGAGCGCTGCCACTCAGACTGGAGGCATGCTGGGAGGGGACATGCTGGGTGGGGGAGGCGGAGGGGGAGGGATTGACTTGGTTGACTTATTGACCTTCCTGTCGTCTCTTCCCATTACCCCATATTATCAGGGGGGTCTGTCTCTGTCTGTCTCTTCCCATTACCCCACTGTGCCACATATTGCAGGTACTCCACGTTGGACACAGACAGACTCATCGATCCCGTGGACTTCAATCTCAAGTGCGAGCGCTGCCACTCAGAGCTGGAGGCGGAATCGGACATGCTGGGAGGAGGAGGCGGAGGGGAGGGGGAGGGGGAGGGGGAGGGGGAGGGGGAGGGGGTGATGGAGAGGACAATACACGGAAGAAGAAGAAAGAAGCGCTTCAAGACATGCTGGCGAGATTTGAGGTGAGTGGAGGGAGTTTGAATGTGTGGGTTCACCTTAACCCTAAAAAAAAAAAAAAAAAAACTCTCCACTGTCTTTCGCCTCGTCTCTTTCACTGCCTCTCCATTGCCCTCCTCCACTTCCGAACCGCAGCGCCAGTTGAAACGCCTGATGCAGCCGGTAGCTACAGGCAAGGACATCACACCGCCCTACTTCAGTTTCTCCTCGCTCTCACCTTTCATCCTGCCCTGCTCTGCCCTGCCCTGCCTCTTCGTTTCCCCTGCCTCTTCCTTCCCCAGCGCCAATTAAAGCCCCTGATGGAGCAGATAGTGAAGGTGAAGGACCTCACGCCGTCCTACTTCGGGTCTCTATCCGAGTGGGAGGCCAAGGCGCCTCCAATCCTGTTCCCATGCCCTTTCCCTGCCTCTCCTTTTTCTCTGCCTCCTCCCCTTGCCCTGCCCTACCCCCAGCGCCAACTAAAGCCCCTGATGGAGCAGATAGTTAAAGTGAAGGACCTCACACCACCCTACTTCGGGTCGCTATCCGAGTGGGAGGCCAAGGCGTCGCCAGCACAGAGGGCAGCAGCAGTGGGGGGCGAGATCCCCAAGGCTCTTCCGAGACTGGCTGGACCAGGGGGAGGGGGTGGAGCTGGGTCGACCCCCCTGCCCTTCATGGGGGAGACTCGGGTACGTTTCACTTGTCTGGGTTCTGCAGCAATGGGGGCGGTTGTGCTTTTCTGAGTGGGAGTTGAAGCCTTCAAGGCATCGCCAGCACAGAGGGCAGCAGCAGTGGGGGGCGAGATCCCCAAGGCTCTTCCAAGACTGGCTGGGCCGGGGGGAGGGGGTGGAGCTGGGTCCACTCCCCTGCCCTTCATGGGCGAGACGCAGGTAAGTGGATGGTAGTGGTCAGCTGGTTAGGCGTATGCTTCTGAGTGGATGGGAATGCGGGGGTTCAATTCAACTCAAGCCTTTCAAGGCCTCGCCAGCACAAAGAGCAGCAGCAGTGGGAGGGGAGATCCCCAAGGCTCTCCCCCGGTTGGCGGGGCCGGGGGGGGGGGGAGGGGTGGGTCGACCCCACTTCCCTTCATGGGCGAGACACGGGTAGGTGGATAGGAGGCCTGCATACTAGTGAGTGGGTTTTACTTTTCGAAGGGGAAGGGGGAGGGGAAGGGGCGTTGACCCAAGCCAGCAGAAATTAAGGTCATTCCCAAGTGGGCCATACGAGAGGGCATGGTGCTGACTGCATCACTGATTCTCTACTACTTCCGTCTCCCTTGCCCCACCCACCCCATGCACGCACCCCCAATTCACAGGTGGAGGTGTCGATTGGAGGGGAGGATGTTGCTGCTGGTGCTGGTGCGGCAGCGGGAGGAGGGGGAGGAGGAGGAGGGGAGGGGGCGTTGACCAAACCAGCAGAAATGAAGGTCATTCCCAAGTGGGCCATACGAGAGGGCATGGTGCTGACCGCTGCGCAGAGAGGGGAGGTGGAGGAGGAGAAAGCGGGCGGCGAAGGGGAGGGCGGGGAGGGGGGAGCAGGGGAAGGGGATGGGGGAGCAGGAGAGGGTGCGGCGGGAGGAATGTCTGCAGAGGAAGAGGCAGAGCAGCAGAGACTACAGGTGAGCTTTGGTATATACAAAAAAATGTATGACATACACACAGACATGGACATAAATATAAATATGAATATAAATATAAATATAAATGTAAATGTAAATATAAGTATAAATATAAATATAAATATAAATATAAATATAAATATAAATATAGATATAAATATAAATATAAATATAAATATAAATATAAATATAAATATAAACATAAACATAAATATAAATATAAATATAAATATAAATATAAATATAAATATAAATATAAATATAAATATAAATATAAATATAAATATGAATATGAATATGAATATTAAGATAAACATGAACATAAACATAAATATAAGTATAAGTGTAAGTATAAATATAAATATATATATATAAATATAAATATAAATATAAATATAAATGCAAACACAAGTACAAGTAAAAATACAAACATAAAACAAATATAAATATAAATATATATTTACTCTATAAATGTATGTATCATTCACCTAAAAAGTGAAGCACGTGTCGCTCCAGCAAGGCCTACTATGCCGCATTGCTGCAGCAATTAGGGTATCCCTCCCAACCTATCCCCCAATCAGAATATGAGGTGACTTTTGAGTCGACTCAAAAGTCACCTCGTCATCTATCTCCCAACCACAACATTCCCCTCCCCCCTGTTCCCCCACCCTCGTATCAACAGGAATACTACAAGGCTTACTACGCAGCATTACTGCAACAGCAGCCAACAGGTGTATCCGTGCTGATCTGTTCCCCAACTTTTACCTGCCCCTCCCCCCTGTTCCCCCACCCTCGTATCAACAGGAATACTACAAGGCTTACTACGCAGCATTGCTGCAACAGCAGCCAACAGGTGTATCCGTGCTGATCTGTTCCCCAACTTTTACCTGCCCCTCCCCCCTGTTCCCCCACCCTCGTATCAACAGGAATGCTACAAGGCTTACAATGCAGCATTGCTGCAACAGCAGCCAACAGGTGTATCCGTGCTGATCTGTTCCCCAACTTTTACCTGCCCCTCCCCCCTGTTTCCCCACCCTCGTATCAACAGGAATACTACAAGGCTTACAATGCAGCATTGCTGCAACAGCAGCAACAGGTGTATTCCCCAACTTCAACCTGTTTCTCTCCTCACTTTCCTCCACCCTCATATTCATCAGGAATACTACAAGGCATATTATGCCGCGTTGCTACAACAGCAACAAGCACAAGCAGCCGCAGCAGCAGGGGGGGCCGATACCACTGCCCCTACTGCTGCTGCTACCGACACTGCCACAGCTGCAGCTACTACTGCTGTCACTCCTGCCGACGCAGCAGCAGTAGAAGCAGCAGGGGAGGGAGATGAGGAGGAGGATGTTACATGGGAAGAGGGGGATGCAGGAGCATACACCACTCCTCCTGCTCCTGCTGCTGCGCTCCCTTTCAACGCGAGTCAAGCCCTGCCCACTACGCCTATAGCAGCAGCAATACAGGAGGAGGATGAGGAGGCGGATTATGAGTGGGAGGATGGGGATGGGGGGGATGGTGGAGTGGGGGGAAGTGGAGGGGAGGTTGTGGGGGAAAGGGACGGGGGAGGGGTGAGTGGAGGGGCGGGGAGTGGGGGTGGAACAGGGGATGGGGCTGGTGTTGCGGTTACCCCGGAGCAGGTGGGGGTAGGAGAGGCGGAGGGTGAGGATGATGAGGATATCGAATGGGATGAGTGATAAAGTTGACTAGTCTCTTCGCTACAGTAGCATGTTATGGTTTGGGGGATGTGTACAATAAACAAGTTCAGAAAGTTGGGGGGTACGGTCTGGACTGGACCACTCATACCTAGCTAGCTTCTTTATCAAGCGATATGTTGCATCTTCAATGAGTACCACTGGGTGCAGAATTTGATATTGTCTAGCTGGGATGGGAAGGCAAGGCACCTAGATGAGAAATGTTAGCTGGTCTCACTAGGTGGTGCTTACTTGACTCAGCTGCTGGTCTTGTGATGCCCTCATACATGGCAAGCCGAGCAACCTACCTGTGCTGTGTTGAAGTTTGATGGTACTTCGCTTCTGCTGTGCGATAAAAGGTCTCCAATGTACACATTGGCTTTAATGAATAGAGGCAAGTAGAACATCCTGAAAACACACGCATAAAGATCCATGCAATTAAAGCCCGCTCTTTGTTGTACCCAGCACTAGCGGCTTGGAAGGCAGCTTATCCCGGTTATGTGCCTCCGAATAATCAATATTCCGCCCGATGGGGCAGATGGCGAAAGGGTTTAGGGCGTTCGGGCTGCAGAAAAACTTTTTGCGGATGTGGACCATGTTCACGGTGCTGGCGATCCCGGGCAGCTGGAAAACTTCCTTGGTGTAGTTGAAAAGATTGGGGTACTCCTGAATCATCCTCTTATTGCAGTTGAAGTGGCCATAATACACCTGGGAAATTGGGGAACATGCAACACCAGACGGAAGCACCAAGGTAAGAAAGTGGCAATGGAAGAAGCAGGGTGGCTATGGCCTGGAAGAAGCAGCAGCAGCAGTGATTGTAGGAAGAAGCAGCAGTGGCAATGGAAGAAGCAGCCTAGGGAATAAAGGAAGCAGCCTAGAGAATGGAGGAAGCAACGTGCTGGTGTGAAAGAATCAAATCTACAACCGTACCTCATCAAATCTTATCAGATCCACAAACAGCCGAATGTCAGCCTCTGTGAAGGCCTCTCCCGCTATGTAGCGCTGCTTTGAGAGAATGTCCTCACAGCGATCCAAGGCTGAGAACAGGGTGGCTACAGCCTGGCGTGGTTGGAAGGGAATGGAGGAGAGATGCGCAAAGAGAGATGCGAGATGAGTGACGAAGCATGCAGAACAAGAGGGTGCGAGCCTTTGTGAAGGCATCTCCTGTTATGTAGCCCTGGCGGGACAAGATGTCCTCACAGCGATCCAAGGCTGAGAAGAGTGTTGTTATGGCGTGGAGTGGAGAACAAAGAGAGAAGACGAGGGATGCAAGGACGAGGGATGAGAGTAAAGGAGAGGGGTGAGAGTGAAGGAGGGGTGAGAGTGAAGGAGAGGGGTGAGAGTGAAGGAGAGGGGTGAGAGTAAAGGAGAGGGGAGTGTGCATCAGCCTCTGTAAAAGCATACCCTGCCATGTAGCGCCGGCGAATCCGCACTTGAACGCGAAGCTGTTGATTGCCGGGTCAACCCACTCGTTCACCCCATCAATTGCCGCCTGCTTGGCCCCACATTGAGGGGTGCTGACTTGTGGCACCCCTCACCCACTTCACCAATTCTCACCCATTCTCACCCATGATCACCCCTGCTCACCGCATCATAAGCTGCTTGCTCCTTGGCGAATCCGCACTTAAACACGCCGCTGTTGATCGCCGGGCCGACCCACTCGTTCACCCCGTCAATTGCCCCCCGCATGGCCGCAGGATAGAGGTCCGCGTGGGGATTGGCGGCGACGGCATTGAATTCGGAGTTGAGCATTCGCATGATCTCGCTGCTCTCGTTGTTCACTATAGTGCGCGTCTGCTTGTCAAGCAGAATCTGGGATAGGGCATGGAAGAGTGGAGGAGCGGAAGAGGGGATGGGGAAGGGAGGAGGTTACAAGAGGTCCACGTGGGGGTTGGCAGCGGCGGCGTTGAATTCCGAGTTGTTCGCATTCGCACGATCTCTGCACTCTCGTTGTTCACTAGAGTGCCTTTCTGCTTGTCAAACAGAATCTGGAGGGAGGGGTGAAAATAGGGGAGTGGAAAACTCAGGGAGGGAGGGTAACAGATAGCTCAGTGGAGGTTTGAGAGGTCCGCTCAGTGAAGGTTTTGTATGAAGGATCCATTTTCTCGTAGATATCACGAACTAAGTGTGGTGTACATACTGTACATACCGGCACTGAGAAGGTCTTGTACGAGGGATCCATTTTCTCGTAGATATCGCGGACGAAACGAGTATCGAAGATCGGTTCGGGTTGCGCCCCCGGCTCCTCCGCGTCCCCCTCCGCGGATGGGAACCCCCATCCGAAATGCCCTTCAAAACGCTCAAAAGTCAACTGTACACTTTCCATCCAGTGTTCAATTGTGGTGTACATACCGGCACGGAGAATGTTTTGTACGAGGGATCCATTTTCTCGTAGATATCGCGGACGAAGCGAGCGCCGAAAATCGGGTCAGGTTGCGCCCCCGGCTCCTCCGCGTCCCCCTCCGCGGAAGGAAAACCCCATCCGTAATGATCCTCCCCCTCGCGCGTGCGCACCCACGTTGGGTTCAGCACCTGCCACGTCAGCAGGGTTGGAGTGGGGAAAAAGGGGGGACATCTGGAAAGGCTGTACTCCATACAAGACTAAAAATCCTGCCTTGTTTAAGAGCGGAAGAGCGCACAGTCACACCACAGTCATAATGGAATAAGCACCCCTGCGTACAGTCACACCACAATCTCCCCCACTTACAGTCACGGAGATGGCGTCGTCGAGTGCTTTTACATTGAGCACCATGAAGTTGGCATCATGGTAATGCTGGTAGAGAATGTGCTTATAACGGGAACTGCTTACAGTAACGGAGATGGCATCGTCGAGCCCTTTAAGCTTGAGCGGGAATTAGCAACACAATCATCCTTGTCAAGAATGTGACAATAACGGGAGCTGCTTACAGTGACGGAGATGGCGTCGTCGAGTCCTTTAAGTTTGAGCGCCATGAGGCAGCGCGACGCCCAGGGGCAGGCGTAGCTCACGTACAGGTGGTACCTGGGGGAGGTCGGTATGGTGCAGAGAGCGGGGGGGAGGCTGCTATTGGTAAGGGGGACGGAGAAAGAGCGCCGACCAGGTACGCCCAGGGGCAGGCGTAGCTCACGTACAGGTGGTAACTGGGGGAGGTTGTGGGGGTGGGTGGGTTGGCGGGGGGATAAAGGAGGGGGAAGAAAGGGGAAAGGGGGTGTAGTGAGGACGGTAGTGAGGAGAAGCCGAGAAGAGGGGTGGAGGGAGGGGAGGGGGGGAGAGGGAAAGAGGGGGGGAGAAGGGGGGAGAGGGGGGGAGAGGGGGGGGAGAGGGGGGGAGAGGGGGGGAGTAAGGGGGAAGGGGAGGAGATGGGGGAAAGGTGGGAAGGCGGGGAGATGTTGATACAACGCATCACACACCTACGTGAAAAAAGGAGTGTTTTGAGACGTCTCAACGCATCACACACCTACAAGCGATGTCAGCCGCCGTACCTTCCGCTTTCCGCGGGGAAGCCGCTGGAGCCGTCCGCTGTTACATGCTGGCGGAACGGAACCGCCGCCGCGGAAGGCGGAGCGCTTGCTCCGGCGGAGGTCGCGGCGGCAGTCGCTGTGGGCGGCATGCTTTTGGCTGCGGCGGCTAGGGAGCGGTTGACGGTCCGACCGGAGGCTTGTTTCGGAAACCTGCGCGCTTCTATCGAGGACGGAGTGTACTGAGTAACAGAGTAGTTGCTGCAAAGAGAATCGGAAGGTTGGCGAGAGAACGGAGAGGAGAGGAGGAGCGTGGGTGAGTTTGGGAGGAGTGCGAGACGGTGTGCGCACGACTGAAGGAGCACCGACGGCATTAACGCTGCTCTGCCCACTTCTGTACGGTGACGATCGCTGTCGGATCGGAGGTGATCTGCTGTGTTTCGCTGCTCTGTGCTGCGATTCTCTGCGCGATGCCGCGCGGGTCTATCTTTTGCTTGGGGGTAGTACTAGAAGAGCGAATCAGCAAGATGGCGGGACGCTCGGGATACTCGAGAATCGTTCAACAAAGGCGGCGGAGCGCAGGAGCTTATAAAGCAGTGCAGTACGTAGTAAGAAAGCTGCTGGCAAATGCAAAACACGGAAGCTCGTCTTGAACCGTGTCGCGCTGGAGGGCCCTTCCTTCCCCATTCCCCTCGATCCCTCCGCCAAGCCTGGATCTCCCATCGTTTGTTTGATTCAACCTGCCCGGATGCGCAGCAGATAGCTAAAAGTATTACAACACCAGCCCTTTTATGAAACAATACGCGTGAGACTAAACTACGCACCCTTGGGAGTAGGGAGGCATTGCCGCATAGTAGTGGTTGCTGGCCTTCCATGCCGCACGGAATGCATTGCTGCCCGCCGAAAGAAAGGAAGGTCTCATCGTAAAAACAGAACCAACCACCCGACCAATCATGGAGCTACGACGCGGATCTTCAGCTTGACAGACGTCGAACGCTCGTTGGTTTGAAGGCTCGGGTACCTGCTGCGATTGGGGAATCTATGCCACGCTGGCAATGCGATTAGGTCAGGTCGTGCTAGTCAGGAGAGTTTAGTTTCCTCCGTAGCTTCGATAGTCCAGCGAAGGAGCTAGCGAAACTGCATCAGATCCGACCGCTGACTCGTTAAAGGTAGCTCCGTCAACAACAAGCCGACTACAGTCCATCTAAACAAACAGCTCCGTTACTTGTGAATGGCTTTCCTTAATCCGATATGGTCCGAAACGCTTATCGAAGCTGTGTTGGTACAGCAGTTCCGAGAAGCTACAAATCTCCGAGCAGCTTCTCGGAATTGTCCTTTCTTTCCTCGGGTACTTCGAGAACCATGTAGCCAAGCGAAAGTTGGTTACACAGAACAATGCACATACATCCACGCATCCAACTCCTCTGTACATAGCGATCGCAACTTTTCGCGTACAGCACAGGTCCTTCACACCGTGAAAAAAAATTCGCGCATTTCGCACAAGTCTTGCTTTCATCCATTTCTCGTCACCTCCAAAACCCGCAGTTATAATTTGCTTCGCGGCAAATTGTCCACCACACATTCCAATTTCTGCTTCATAATTTGCGCCTATCCTCTTATCGCTTCTCGAACCTCTTCAGCTTCTATCTTCTCGTGGGGAAGCTCTGGTTCTCATCGGCTTCGTCGTGACAGTCTCCCCGCAATTCCCGGCGCGAGCAGGCAGGAAGCGCGGGTAAGGCTAGCAGGTTCTAAGGCTAGGGGCAAGAAAGCGCTTTCCTTCAAACCTTTTCGTTTTCCTTTTCTCCTCCGCAAGTTGTTAACCAGCCGAAACCAGCCATGACAGCTGTCGCGTCGTCAGCCCTTCGCCTGCCGCTGTACCCACGTCTCCCCGCGTTCGCACCTGTCAAAACTCTTGCTAAACATCGCTCTTCGCCTTCGCCTTATTCTCCTACTTTTGCAACCGCCTCTGAACCCTGCCGTTTCCAGCAGATTCGATCCACTTCTAAGAGCGTGTATACCTCGACGGTCCCACCAGCTCCGAGATTTGCGAGAGTTTTTGAATTCGCGAGAGGCGGCCGGGTAACAATCGACTCAACCACGTTTCTCATCCAACAATCCTTGCTCCCGCAATCGCCGTGCCTGCTGCATCAGCCGCAGCAGCCTGCTAGCCGCCTTTTGAGACGTCTTAAAAGTCGCTCGTTCGTTCGACAAGCCGCCACAGCGACTCCGAGGTCGGTGTCTGATCCGGCCGCCACGTCAGCAGATCCCGCCACGTCAGCGGATCCCGCCACGTCAGCAGCAGGGCCCGCCATGGTGGTGACGGCGATTCAGGAGACGAGCGCGGATGGCGCGTACAAGCGCACGCCCTCCGCGTTCCGCAGCGTCATTACCGCGGATGGTTCGAGCGGATTTCCCGCCGTCGCTGGCAGGTACGCTTGTACGCGGTACTTAAGTGCCTTCTAACGCGGACGGCGCGTTCAGGTGTTGCACGCCCTCCGCGTTCCGCGGCGTCATCACCGCGGATGGGTCCAGCGGATTCATTGCCGTCGCTGGCAGGTACGTAGATAGATAGAATTATAAGAGGTTTCTGAGGTGGCTTATAACGCGGACGGCGCTTTAAAGCGTACGCCTTCCGCCCTCCGCCCTCCGCCTTCCGCAATCTTATCACCGCGGATGGTTCGAGCGGATTCCTCGCCGTCGCTGGCATGTGTGTAGATGGATAGGGTCAAAGAAGTCTGTTTTGCCGTGGTTTTAACGCGCACGGGGCGTCTAGTTTTCAGGCGCCTCAAAGGAGGACTTTTTGGGTGTGGTTACTAACGCGGACGGGGTGTTCACGGGCACGCCCCCCGCTTTTTGTGGCCTCGTCTCCGCTCGCCCTGGTTTTCTGTTTAGCAAGTATCATTGCTACCCGCGTCTTGCAACCGCCCCCAGGTACCACCTGTACGTGAGCTACGCCTGCCCCTGAGCTACGTGAGCTACCCCTCCACTTATCCTCAACCCCTTCCCCTGTGGTTCGCACATACACCCTCCCCAGGTACCATCTGTACGTGAGCTACGCCTGCCCCTGGGCGTGTCGCTGCCTCATGGCGCTCAAACTCAAGGGGCTCGACGGCGCCATCTCCGTCACTGTAAGCAGTACCCGCTATGGTCAATTTCGTTATAAGCACTTCCGCTGTTGTCATTACGGTGACTTCAGCGAACGTCAATGTGCCTCATGGCGCTCAAACTCAAGGGGCTCGACGACGCTGTCTCCGTGACTGTAAGAATTTCTCGTTGCAAGCGCTTCTGCCTCCGCTATAATCACTTCCGTTATAGGCATTAAAAGCATCAACGCTCAACTCAACGTCGCCACGCCCCACATGCATGACGCTCGACGACGCCGTCTCAGTTCAAAAATGGCATATGAACGTTCAGTTTCAGTGTCAGTGTCTCTAGAAAGTTCTCCTTTCCGCATTCCCCACTTTTGCTCTCACACGTTCACGTGCCTTTCTCACACGTTCACGTGCCTTTCTCACACGTTCACGTGCCTTTCTCACACGTTCACGTGCCTTTCTCACACGTTCATGTGCCTTTCTCACACGTTCACGTGCCTTTCTCACACGTTCACGTGCCTTTCTCACACGTTCACATGCCTTTCTCACACGTTCATGTGCCTTTCTCACACGTGCACCCCCCTGCTTTATTCTCTCATCACAGGTGGTAGAGCCCGTGTGGAAGCGCACGAGGGAAGGGGACGACCACGTGGGCTGGCAGTTTGTGGCGCCGGGAGGGGAGGCGGAGGTGGCAGGGGCAGAGAGCGACCCTCTGAATGGAGCTCTCTTCCTGAGGGACGTGTACGACAAGGTGGACCCCTGTGCCGCCAAGTTCATCGTGCCTGTGAGTGGTGGTGCTGGGTGTGAGTGGGTGTGTCTAGGTGTGGCTGAGTGGGTTGCGTCCAACACAAGAGGCGTAGGCGCCAGCAGCAGAGAGCAAACCCTTTGAATGGAGCTCTCTTCCTGAGGGACGTGTATGAGAAGGTTGACCCGCATGCTGTGAAGTTCATCGTGCCTGTGAGTGGTGGTACTGGGAGTGTGTGTGGGAGTGCGAGTGTGAGTGTGAGTGGGAGTGCGAGTGGGAGGGCGAGTGGGAGTGCGAGTGGGAGTGCGAGTGGGAGGGCGAGTGGGATTGGGGCTGAGTTTTGGTGCTGGTGGGAGTGGGGGCGGCACGGGTGGTGGGTGTGGTGTGACTGGGTGGACAGCTGGCTCTGCTCAGAGAGACGTGGTGAGACGTGGTGAGACGTGGTTTTGTATTCTCCCTCTCTCACCCTTTGTGACTTTTGAGTCGACTCAAAAGTCAAAAGTCAGAAGTCACTGGTGGTGGGTGTGGTGTGGTGTGACTGGGTGGACAGTTGGCTCTGCTCTGCTCAGAGAGACGTGGCTCAGAGAAAACCCTCACAGTTGGTTTTCTATTCTATCTCACCCTTTGTTGTGCGTTCTCCTATTCTCCCGTGCAGGTCCTGTGGGACAAGGAGAGCGGCACGATAGTGAACAACGAGAGTGCGGAGATCGTGCGAATGCTCAACTCGGAATTCAACGCCATTGCAAAGCACCCTCAGGTGAATTCCAACACTCTCAGGTGAGTCGAACATGTCCAGGTGAATCTCAACACTCTCTCAGGTGAAAACAACAATGTCAGATGAACTAGTAGGTGTATCAGGAAATCAGCAACGGCGCCCCACCAAGCTATTCCCGCATGCTCTTCCCTACTTCTTCTCTCCCCTCTTCCCTTTTCCCACCTCTTCCTCTCACCCTTTCCCAGGTGGACCTTTACCCACCACACCTGCGGGCAGCAATAGACGAGGTGAACGAGTGGGTGTATCCGGCAATCAACAACGGCGTGTATCGCTGCGGCTTTGCCAAAAAGCAAGGCCCTTATGAAGAGGTGGGTGTCCTGGTGGATGGGTGGACCAGTGGATGGGTACCATAGTGGGTGAGTGGGTGGGTTTGCCGGTTCCGTGTTGCTGCGTCTGTCATGGCAAGGGACGAGCCAAACCAGTGCGTGCATTCGCCTAAAGCCGGGGTGAACGAGTGGGTGTATCCAGCAACCAACAACGGCGTGTAACGCTGCGGCTTCGCCAAAAAGCAGGACCCGTACGAAGAGGTGGGTGGGTGGGGCTAGGTAGGTGGGTGGGTGGGTTGCACTGTCCTGTGTTTCTGCCCCTGTCACAGCTATCAACAAGGTGAACGAGTGGGTGCATCTGGCAATCAACAACGGCGTGTATCGCTGCGGCTTCGCCAAAAAGCAGGACCCGTACGAAGAGGTGGGTGGGTGGGGCTAGGTAGGTGGGTGGGTGGGTTGCACTGTCCTGTGTTTCTGCCCCTGTCACAGCTATCAACAAGGTGAACGAGTGGGTGCATCTGGCAATCAACAACGGCATGTAACGCTGCGGCTTCGCCAAAAAGCAGGACCCGTACGAAGAGGTGGGTGGGTGGGGCTAGGTAGGTGGGTGGGAGGGTTGCACTGTCCTGTGTTTCTGCCCCTGTCACAGCTATCAACAAGGTGAACGAGTGGGTGTATCTGGCAATCAACAATGGCGTGTATCGCTGCGGCTTTGCCACCAAGCAAGGCCCATACGAAGAGGTGAGCCCCTCTCTTACCTACTCTCTATATTGAAATCACTTTTGAGAATTCTCAAAAGTGATTTCAATATAGCCCCTCTCTTACATACTCTCTTCGGTATGTATGAACAGGGTGAACAAGTGTATTTATTCAACTACTACAGGTTACAAGAACACTTCCAAGCAGTTTTAAGTCTCTCCACATAAAATTCGTGAGATCTAAGGCAATTTTCGAGGCGCCTCGGAATTCTCTTACTTTCTCTCTCCTGTATGTATGGACAGGTTGAGCAAGTGCATTGATCAAACCACTAGCTAGAGCATGTATTGATGCGGCTTTGCCGTCGTTCTCCTGCTCCTCTCTGAGGAGAGCTGAGAAGAGAAGAGCTTCCAGGCATTCAAGGAACTCTTACTTTTGAGAAATTTCAAAAGTAAAATTCCCTGCAGCTGAGAAGAGAAGAGCTTCCAGGCATTCAAGGAACTCTTACTTATGAGAATTCTCGAAAGTAAAATTCCCTGCAGCTGAGAAGAGAAGAGCTTCCAGGCATTCAAGGAACTCTTCTCTTCTCAGCTCTGAACCGTTGTGGCCATCTTGTCTTGTCATCTTGTTTTGCCACTGCTGCAAAGCTGAGAACGAGTTGACTATTGAGTCGACTCAAAAGTTAATTGGCCCTTTGCCATCTTGCCTTGCCATTGCCAGCGCTGCAGAGATCGAGTGGCCCTTTGCCAAGATGGCTGTCTTGGCATGAGACGCCTTTATCTTGGGTCATCGGCTTGCTCCCCCTTAATCTCCTCAACCCAGGCCCCTTTATTCCCTTTACCTCAGGCGGAACTCTTTGCTGCTCTGGGTCGTCATGAGACGATCTTGTGTTCATGCCTTCTCCCCTCCGCTCGCTGCACCCCTTAATCTCCCACTCCCAGGCGTTCAAGGAGCTATTCGCTGCTCTGGATCGCTGTGAGGACATCTTTTCTCCTCAGCGCTACATGGCAGGATATGCCATTGCTGAAACACCTCTCTCTCCCCTTCTCTTCTCCTCTTCGATCGCCCCACGACCAGGCATTCAAGGAGCTATTCGCCGCTCTGGATCGCTGTGAGGACATTCTTTCAAAGCAGCGCTACATGGCAGGGGATACTTTCACAGAGGCTGATATTCGGCTGTTTGTCACTCTCATTCGCTTCGACGAGGTACGCCTTGATACCTTCCATCAAAATCACTCTCATTCTTAACTTCTAAATCATTCTCGGTCCGCCGGTCACTTGGACCAGTTCCGGTGAAACAGCCACGACAGGTGAATTTTCCACTTCCCTGCCATTCTTGAAATTCGCCCTGACCTTCTGAACTTGGATCTGGGACACACCCTCATGCGTGCACGCACACACACTCACACACACATCTCTTCACCCACTCGCTCACACCCATACCCACTCTCTCCCTAGCCTTGCACACCCTGTTACGCCTGTACGTGGTTCATTTCCAGATTTGAAAGACAGAAGAAATTTGAAATGCGTGGTCTTTTCCCCCCACCCCTCCCCCTGGACTCCATGTCGTCCGTCCCTCCCGTGCCCGAAGGAAATCACTTTTGAGAATTCTCAAAAGTGATTTCCATGTGCCCCTTGTCTCGCTCACCTCGTACACCTCTGTGTGACTCGTTTCAAAATTTGAAAAGCTTGATCTCTTTTTCCTCCACCCACCACCCCACCCTCCCTGGCCCTCCCGCTCTCCCTCCCTCCCTTCCCTCGCACGCCCTGATACACTCACTCCCTCCTTGTTACAGGTGTACGTGGTTCATTTCAAGTGTAACCGCAATTTCATCCGCGAATTCCCCAACCTCTTCAACTACACCAAGGAAATTTACCAGCTGCCCGGAATCGCATCTACAGTGAACATGGCGCATATCAAGGCGCACTATTACCGAAGCCACCCTTCCATCAACCCCTTCGGAATAATTCCTATGGGTCAGGGTATTGATTACAGTGCGCCGCATGACAGGGATAGGCTGCCTGGTGTTGCTCTGCCTTGCGGGAACCTGTGAGTGCTGCAATTGATCGATGGTCCAATGTGTTCCACTTATAGAAGCAAGACCGTTCATTACTACCGTAAGTCGACGCATATCAGAGCACACTATTTCCGAAGCCACCCTTCTATCAACCCCTTCAACATCATCCCTACGGGTCAGGATACCGATTACAGTGCGCCCCATGACAGGGATAGGCCGCCTGGTGTTGCTCTGCCTTGTGGAAAAGAGAGTGGAGAAAATATTGTTCAGTACCTTTCGAGCGATGCATTCCGTTGAAGATTATGATATCCAATGATCCAGTGCACAGCCAGCGCATATCAAGGCACACTATTTCCGAAGCACCATTCCCATGGGTCAGGGTATCGATTACAGTGAGCCTCCCGATAGGGATAGGCTGCCTGGTGTTGTCTTGCCTTGTGGGAAAGAGTGTGAGAGACTGATCAAACTTACGATGTGTTCCAAATATATAGGAGGACCAAATTCAGTGTACAGTCAGCGCATATCAAAGCGCACTAATTTTGAAGCCACCCTTCCATCAACCCCTATGGGATCATCCCTATGGGTCGGGGCACCGATTACAGTGCGCCGCACGATAGGGATAGGTGGCATGGTGTTGCCCTGCCTTGTGGGAAGAGTGAGTGGGGAGAATGATTGTAAGCCAGTGTATGTGCCATATCCATTGCATATTTGTTCCTGAGTAATGTACCCCTGCATGCTGTGAACCTACCGAGTATTTGTCAAATGTTGTAGCCTATAGTGAGGTTTGTCTTAGGGGGTACAAAACTTAGGGTTAGCTATATGTACCCCAACCAACATCAATGCATCATCCATTCTTCATTCTGACATGGTATCAGTTAGGTTAGGATCCTGTGGGATCCCGTTCCGCCGTTCTCCGTTCGTACCACCCGAGCCTGATCCTAGCTCTCGTTCGTCTCCTTCTCGTTGTTACCGAGCCTAGCGCCGAGCCACGCTCTCGTTCGTATCGTTCCAGCTGTTACCGAGCCTAGCAACGACCCACGCTCTCGTTCGTAGCGTAGCCCGCCCCCCCGTCGCGTCGCCTTCCCCCCCCCTCGAGACGCGCCCGTCCCTTTCCCCCTGTCGCGTCGCGCTCCCCCCGTCGCGTCGCGTCCGCTCCTTCCCCCGTCGCGTCGCCTTTCCCCTGTCCCGTCGCGCCCCCCCTTTTCCCCCGTCGCGTCGCCCTCCCCCTGTCCCGTCGCGCCCGCCCCTTCCCCCCGTCGCGTCGCCCTCCCCCTGTCCCGTCGCACCCGCCCCTTTCCCCCCGTCGCGTCGCCCTCCCCCTGTCCCGTCGCTCCCGCCCTCTCCCCCGTCGCGACGCCCGTCCCCGCAGCGCCCGCCACTGTCGCTCGCGACCGCGCTCGTCGCCGCCGCGCCTGCCGCCGTCGCCCGCCCCCTGCGCGCCTCGCCGCGGCCCCGCCGTCGTCGCCCGCCGCTGCGCGCGTCGCCGCTGCGCCCCCTGCCGTCGCCCGCTGCGCGCGCTGCTGGCCCCTGCTGCCGAGCGCGCTGCCATCGCCCGCCGCTGCGCCCGTTCCCGTTCCCCGCTGCTTAGTCCCCTGTTACCTCCCGCTGTCACGCCCGCTGTGGCGTCCGCTCCTCCCCTGTCCCAGAGTACCGCCGAACCCTAATTTGCCTCTCACCTACTGCTGTCCCCTCCCTCTCCGTTCGCGTTCGTTTTCACTATGGCGACTCAGCGTGTCCTTCGTTTCGACGCTGACGGTAGACCTCTTGATTTTTCCGTCTGGCTTCTTCGTGCTCGCCGTCTGTTAGAGAGTCAGGTCCAGGCAGGCGAGACCCTCTGGGCGCACGCTACTGGTGCCCTACCTGCGCCCTCCGACCCTACGCCTTTAGGACCTGCCCCTGACGACGCCGCTAGAGCCCGCTTTGCCACTCAGCGAGCTGACCAGACGGCTTGGACGTCACGTGACGCTGCGGCCTGCATCGCGCTCAGCAGCCTCCTCCCTGAGTCTGAGGAGGTTCACTTCACTCAGGTTCGCACCGCTGCTGAGTACCTCACTGCGATTAAGGCCCGCTACTCTACTCCCGCTGCTGTCTCTCTTGGCCGCCTGTTCCTCCCGTTCCTGTTTCCTGACCTAGCGTCTTTTGAGCGCTCTGCTGACTTGATCGCTCACCTCCGCTCGCTCGACGCTAGTTACCGCGCTGCTTGCACTGAGGCACAGCTTGCACTGCTTCCTCCCCCTATGGCGATTACTATCTATTTCATCGCCACTAGCCTCCCTGACCGCCTTGCCTCCGTTCGCGACGCGCTTCTGCTGAAGCACCCTAGTGAGCTCACCGTCGAGGTCCTTGAGTCTGCACTCAAGGACGTCGAGAGCAACCTTCGCTCGGTAGCCGCTGCCTCTGGTGCTGTGCCCCCCCCACTCTTCCACGGGTGCACAGTCCCGCAGTTACCCACCTTTACTGCCTCACTTGCCACTGCCGCTACTGACGCGACTGCAGCTGCTGTTACGACTGCGTCGCGGTCCCGCGGTAGGAGTGGCAAGAAAGGCGGTTCTGGTGGTGGTAGTGGAGGTGGAGGCGGAGGTAGTGGAGGTGGCGTTGCGCCTGGCGGCGGTGGAGGTTCAGGGCCTGGAGAGGCGCCTCGTGCAGTGACTGGTGACTCCACTGCGCCTGCTGGTGGTGGCGACGCCCGAGTTCGTCAGTCGCCTCCTGTACTTCCTGCCCCGGTTGGCGGAGCAGCGGCGTGGTACCAGGCTCAGCGTCAGCAGCAGCTTCTGCAGCACCAGCAGCCCCTCTCCTCCCAGCAGCCTCAGCAGCAGCAGCGGCAGCAGCTGGCTCCAGGGTCGGGGCTGCGTCAGACCCAGCGCGGTGCTGCTTACACTCCCTGCACCTACCAGGTTCTGACAGGCACTCGTCGTGGCCACCCTTGTGGCCGGTTTCACCCCCCTGGTCAGTGCTTTGCTCAGCTCACTGACACGGTTCGTTTGGTCTACGGGGTTGGTGCTCCTGCCCCTGACTGGCTGCCTCTTGTTCAGCGCTACGGCTCCGCTCTGTGGGCCATGTCTGCTGAGCAGTTAGTTGATCTGATTGGTACTCCCCATGCTATGTATGCTGTTGTTGACTCTAGTGTTTCTGACTCTGCTTACTCTGGTGTTGTTAGCTTAGGTGCTAGCCTTGCTCAGTTGCCTGTTGCTAGTGTAGGTTCTTGTGTAGACTCTAGTCCAGCGGCTACCTCAGAGGACGGTTCGCTGTCGTTCACGCTGGACTCTGGAGCCTCTCACTGCTTCTTTCGTGACAGCACGACACTTACGCCTCTTCCTGCGCCTGTTTCTGTGGCGCTGGCTGATCCCACTTCGGGACCAGTCACCGCGCGTCACACTACCACCTTGCCGTGTCCGGCTGCTCCTTCTGGGTCTCTCACTGGGTTTCACGTCCCCTCGTTCTCCCGGAACTTGGTGGGCGTGCGACCCCTCGTGAGTCAGCACGTGGGTGTGTGGTTTGAGCCTTCTGGAGAGACTGCGGTGTGTGTTGACGGGGACTCTTACCAGCCCCTCGCCACTTTTGCTGCTGAGCCGGGCTCCGGTCTCTACACTCTTCACACTGGCCCGCGCGCTCAGCAGCGACTGCAGCAGCAGCAGCAGCCGCAGCAGCAGCAGCAGCAGCAGCAGCAGCCGCAGCCGCAGCCACAGCCGCCCCTCCTGCCCCCGGCCCCTGTTTTGCCTCCCGTTCGAGTCCTCGCGTCTCACCAGGTTGCTCCGTCCCCCCAGGTAGCTGTGTCTTGTCAGGTTCCTCCGTCTAGTCCGGTCGCTGCGTCGTGCTCCTGTCGGTCGCTTGCCCACCCCACCGTTTTGTGGCACCACCGGCTGGGGCACCCTTCTCCTCCTCGTCTTCGCGCTATGTCTCGTCAGCGTCTTGTCTTAGGTCTCCCGCGTGTCTTGCCGTCGCTGCCGCCGTCCCTTGCACCACCGTGCGGTCCTTGCGTCGAGGGTAGGCTGCGCGCCACCCCTCACTCCTCCTCCCTTCGTCCGGCCACCGAGCCTTTTGAGACGCTGCACTTGGACGTCTGGGGCCCCTCTCCTCGCCCTGGCCCTGAGCGTGAGCGTTTCTTTTTGGTGGTCGTTGACGACTACTCCCGCTACACCACAGTGTTCCCCCTGGCGAGGAAGTCTGAGGTGACTTCTACGCTGATCAGGTGGTTGCTTACCACCCAGGACACTCGTGGTCGTCGTGTCAGCTGTCTCCACTCCGACCGCGGGGGCGAGTTTCGCTCCGGCATTCTCGCTGGATTCTGTCGCGAACAGGGCATTCGTCAGTCCTAAACGCTTCCGGAGTCCCCACAGCAGAATGGGGTTGCTGAGCGTCGCATAGGCCTGGTCATGGAGATTGCCCGCACCTCCTTGACTCACGCCCGTGCCCCCCATTTCCTGTGGCCATACGCGGTCAGGTACGCCGCGCACCAGCTGAACCTCTGGCCACGCGTCTCTCGGCCGGAGGCTTCACCGACCAGACTTTGGACAGGGTCCCCGTTAAGGTGTCGCGTCGAGGTTTCGTGTCTGGGGGTGCTTGGCTCTTGTCCGCGACACCTCCGCGGACAAGCTCTCGCCTCGCGCCGTTCCTTGTGTCTTCCTTGGTTTCCCTGAGGACTCCTCTGACTTCACCTTTTACCACCCTCCCTCTCACCGGTTCTTTGACTCCCGTGACGTCCGTTTCGAGGAGTCCACCCCCTACTACGTCAGGTACCCCAGTCGAGGTCTCCCGGTCCCTCCCCCCCCTCTCTTCCTGACCGCCGCTCCCCCGCCTGCTCCCCCGGTACAGCCTCCCCCCCCTGGTCCAGCCCCGTCTGGTGTGTCTCAGGCTAGCCCTCCCCCTTCGGTAGCCCCCCCTGTACAGCCTCCCTCCCCACAGTCTTCCTCGCCGCCTCCTGCAGGTGCTCCCTCTCGGGAGGTTGGTCCTGCGACTGTCCCTGTACAGGTCTCTGGTTCTGGGGGTGCTGGAGTTGGAGCTGAGCCGCGGGTTGCAGAGGACTCTTGTCTTCCGGGGGCTGGTACTGGTCGTGCGGAGTCTGGGGGTGCTGGTGCGGAGTCTGGGGGTGCTGCGTCTGGGGGTGAGGGTGTCCCTTCGGTTTCTGGAGAGCCTGGGTCTGGAGCTGGTGTTGGTGCTGCCTCTGGGGGTGGTGTGCTTGGTGCTTCGGAGGTCGACTCTGGGGCTGCCGCTGCCCCGGACACTACTCCTTCCCCCCACCCCTACCCGACCAGGTTCCAGGCTCGTGTTCGCCGTGCTCGTGAGGAGCAGCTGGAGTTGGAGAGAGAGGAGAGAGAGTTGCAGCGGCTCGAGGAGCAGGAGCGACAGCAGCAGGAGCAGCAGCAGGAGCAGCAGCAGGGGCAGCAGCCGCTGGAGCAGCAGCAGCCGCAGCAGCCGCAGCAGCAGCAGCAGCAGCAGCTGCTGCCGTCTCCTCCTCCTGTCTCGGGTCTTCGGACCCTTGGTCTCCCGTCTCCCTCTCCTTCCTCCTCCCCCTCTCCTCCCGTCTCTGGTCCTCCGCTTCCTCCTCCTGACCCCTCTCCCGCTGTTTTCCCTCGTTCTCAGTCTTCGTTGTCTCCTCCTCCTTCTCAGACTTGGGCCTCTCGTCGCTCCCCTCGTGCTCGTCCCTCGTCTCCTGTTCCCTTCACTGACCTTCGTACAGCCTTCCTTTGTTCTCGTCCACCTCGTCCGTCTCCGTCTGTGCTTCCGTCTCCTCCTGAGTCGGCCCTCACTGCGTCGCTTCCTACTCCTGTCACTGACTACTACCGCACGTACCGTCCTGTTCTCTCTCGTGTTCTCGCCTCTCTTGTTACCCACCCTCGTGCCTCTGTGTCCTCTGTGTCCGCTCTTACTGCCGCAGTCACTGAGTTTGCCTCTACCCGCCGCCTTGACTTCGCCACCGCTCTTGTGGCTGCTCCTCCTTCCAGTCCTCTGGCCGTCGGGGGTGTGTCTGCCCTTGGCTGTGACGCCCTAGAGGACAGGCAGTTTGAGCTAGAGTTCCTGGCGGCCGCTTCCCCTCATCTCTGTGCCATGCTCCTCGCCCCTGAGGGTGACCCCGACGCCCTTGACATTCCGACTCCTCGCACTTACGCTGAGGCAGTGTCAGGGCCTTGGGCCTCTCAGTGGAGAGCTGCCATGGACGCAGAGATGGCCTCCTACAGATCCACAGGCACCTACGTCGATGAGGTTCCCCCTCCGGGGGCGAACGTAGTCGACGGCATGTGGATCTACAGGGTGAAGCGGCCACCGGGATCTCCTCCGGTCTTCAAGGCGCGCTACGTGGCTAGAGGCTTCAGTCAGCGCGAGGGAGTTGACTTCTTTCAGACCTTCGCGCCCACCCCGAAGATGACCACTCTTCGGGTGTTACTACACGTAGCAGCACAGAGAGACTACGAGTTACACTCTCTCGACTTCTCTACTGCTTTCCTTCAGGGCAGTCTTCACGAGGAGGTCTGGTTGCGTCGTCCCTCTGCCTTCACTGGCTCTTTCCCTCCTGGGACCCAGTGGAGGCTGAGGCGACCGGTTTACGGTCTTCGTCAGGCTCCTCGTGAGTGGCACGACACCCTGCGTTCTACCCTGTCTGACCTTGGGTTCCAGCCGTCTTCTGCTGACCCGTCGCTGTTCGTTCGTCGTGGCCCCACACCTTTCTTTGTTCTGGTCTACGTTGACGACCTTGTTTTCGCCACCCCTGACAGGGTTGCTTTGGCACACGTGAAGTCCGAACTGCAGAAGAGACACACCTGCACTGATCTTGGTGAGCTGCGCCACTACCTTGGCCTGCAGATCACCAGGGACAGAGCTGCTCGCACCATTACACTTTCACAGTCACACATGGTGCAGCAGGTCCTTCAGCGGTTCGGGCTTCAGCACTCCACAGTACAGCGCACACCTCTTGCTGTTGACCACAGACTCACTGGACCCTTTCCTGACGAGCCGTTCGAGCCTAGTGGTCCCTACGCAGAGCTTGTGGGTTGCCTCATGTACCTGATGACTTGTACTCGCCCGGACCTCGCCTTCCCTCTCAGCGTTCTTGCGCGCTTTGTTGCGCCAGGGAGACACCGTCCTGTTCACTGGACAGCAGCTGTGAGGGTGGCGAAGTACCTAGCGACGACATCAGGCGTGGGGCTAGTTCTTGGAGGGCAGCAGTCTGTCGTACTTACTGGTCACTGTGACTCCTCTTACGCTGACGACGCTGAGACTCACAGGTCTACTCAGGGGTACTGTTTCAGCCTGGGTTCTGGAGCTGTTTCCTGGCGGTCCACGCGCTCCTCTTCGGTCTCGACCTCTACAGCTGAGGCTGAGATCTACGCTGGTGCCATGGCGGCACAGGAGCTGCGTTGGTTGACCTTCTTGCTCACCGACCTTGGTGAGCGGCCGAGCTCTGCACCGACCTTGTTCACTGACAACAAGGCGTCTATTCTCCTTTGTCGAGAGCCACGACTGGAGAGCAGAGTGAAGCACATTCACGTCAGGTACTTTCTTCTGCGAGAGTTGCAGAGGCGTGGACAGGCTCGCTTTGAGTTTGTGGAGTCCGAGGCCAACACTGCAGACATCTTCACCAAGGCGCTTCCGCCTTGTGACCACCAGAGGTGCTGTGTGCAGTTAGGCCTTGTTGACACTGGTTCTCGTGTTGCTTAGACTTGAGTGTACTGTTTACTTTGCTTTCTATATATCTCTGTTACTTCTTGGACTGGCCTTGTGGCCACTGTTGTTTGTGCTCAGACTGTGTGGTGACGTTGTGATCCACCCTGAGCTTCGTTTCTTGGACTGGTCTTGTGACCGTACTCGTTTGGTTCTGCTAGACACCCCTCACTTAGGCTATGGGGGTGTGTCAAATGTTGTAGCCTATAGTGAGGTTTGTCTTAGGGGGTACAAAACTTAGGGTTAGCTATATGTACCCCAACCAACATCAATGCATCATCCATTCTTCATTCTGACACCGAGCCACATGATAGGAACAGGCTGCCTGCTGTTGCCCTGCCTTGTGGGGAGGAGTGAGATGAGATGGGATGAATTTCTGTCATCATGTATCTGAATGGGCCAGGTTATCTTACCGACTATACTGCACGACCAGTATTTTTTAAACCACCCTTCCATCAACCCTTTCGAGATTACCATTCCTACGGGTCGGGATGTCGATTACAGTGTGCCCCATGATAGCCAAAGGCTGCTTGGTACTACCCTGCCTTGTGGGAAGGAGTGACTGGGGAAGTCGATACTAGGTTTTGATGTACCTATCTTACCATATCTGGTGCATCTTTGCCTGTGCGTGGTTTGTCCATACGGGCTGTGAATCTGGCAAGCCTCATGATCGGGATGGGCTGCCTGGTATTGCCCTGTCATGTGGGGAGATGTGAGATGTGAGATGGATATCATATGGGTAGGACAGGTGGTGGGAGCTTATGGGGCCGTTTGGCAGGGAAAAAATGGGTGAGGTGGCTTAGAGGAGGGGTTCTTACATATACAGCAGCATGAATCCACCATGATTCGACGTGATAAATGCAATGACATGGTATTTTGTGGAAGCAAGGCCTCCAGAGGGAGCAGCCCATGGGTAGCAAAGGCCTTAGACAGTGAACAGAAAAAAGGGAATCTTTGAAAAGGGGTGTTGCGAGAATCGAACTCGCGGCCTCTCGCACCCAAAGCGAGAATCATACCACTAGACCAAACACCCGTGCATGTATTACTTCCTTTATTTATTATACTATGTTTTTGGTTATTGTTCTCCTTGAAACCTAAGCAGGAGCGTCGTCGGCAGAGTCGTCCGCGTCGCCCGCATAGTCGCCTGCAGCGTCGCCCGCAGAGTGGCCTAGAACGATCCATGTGAGCCACAGCTGGGCGATCTAGGTGGCCCGTCAACAGAGCGGCGCCAACTGCGCCCTTATCTTACCTACCCTCTGCCAGGTGCGAGCAAGGTTCCGCGAAATGCGGTGAGTGAACTCAAGGAGAATGCGCTGCTTCATCTTCGCAGCTTCCCCCCTCTCCTCTCCGCCCGAACCCCCCCGTCCCCCATCCCCTCTACTCAGTCCACTATCCCCCTACTCAATACCCTCTCGAGAGCAATAGCCTATCCCCTCCGAGAAAAGAGGATCCTCCCCCCTTCTCCCCCGCCTGCCCAGTTCTCTCTATCCCTCTTCCCCGCTCCCTCTACCTCCTACTCCTATCCCTCTCCCTCCCCTCTCCCCTCTACCACGTCCCCTATCCCCCTATCCAATCCCCTCTCCTCCCCACTTCTTCCCTGCCTGCCAGGACTCTCTACCCCCCGTCCGTTCTGCCCCACGTGCGCCAACATGCTGCTGGTGGAGCAGGCAGGCGCACTGGGGGCGAAGAGGCGCGCTTCTTTCTCGCTTGCCTCTCAATCCGTTCCGTCTCCTTCCGCGTGTGCTCACAGCCCTACAGCCCTTCTGCATGGAGTTCGCCAACAGCCCTACAGCCCTTCTGCATGGAGTTCGCCAACAGCCCTACAGCCCTTCTGCATGGAGTTCGCCAACAGCCCTACAGCCCTTCTGCATGGAGTTCGCCAACAGCCCTACAGCCCTTCTGCATGGAGTTCGCCAACAGCCCTACAGCCCCACGTGCGCCAACATGCTGCTGGTGGAGCAGGCAGTCCCACATACGGCGAGAGGCAGGCAAGCAATGCAACACGTCATCCCGTTTCCCACATCTCCCCCCTCCCTGCCCTAGAACGCGCCTGAATGGAGTTCTGCCCCACGTGCGCCAACATGCTGCTGGTGGAGCAGGCAAGCTCCCATGGGGCGAGAGGCGCGCTTCTCTCGTCAGTTTCTTCGTCCTCTCCATCTCTATCCTCGTGTGCTCTCAGCCTATCAGAAGCATCTCAATGGAGTTCTGCCCCACGTGCGCCAACATGCTGCTGGTGGAGCAGGCAGGCGCACATGGGGCGAGAGGCGCGCTTCTTCTTCCTCACCTGTCTGCCTCCCCTTTCCGTCTCTTTCTCCTTGTGCCGTCAGCACATTAGGGTTTTCTGAATGGAGTTCTGCCCCACGTGCGCCAACATGCTGCTGGTGGAGCAGGCACACATGGGGCGAGAGGCGCGGTTCTTCTGTCAGACTTGCCCCTATGTCTATGGCATCACCAGGAAGGTGAGGTCAATGCAAGTCAACGTTGGTCAATGCTGTGGTACAGCCAACGCAAGTCAATGCCGTTCTATGCCACGATTCTTCCGTCAGACGTGTGTCTATGTCTATGGCATCACCAGGAAGGTGAGGTCAATGCAAGTCAACGCTGGTCGATGCAGGTCAACGCTGGTTAATTCAAGTCAACGCTGGTCAGTGGCATGGTTCCTCTGTCAGACGTGGTCCCAAGTCTATGGCATCACAAGGAATGTGAGGTCATTCACTCCAGTCAACGCAAGTCAAAGCAAGTCAGTCGCCACTTTCCAGTCAACGCAAGTCAACGCCGGTCAATGGCTCGCTTCTTCTGTCACACTTGCCCATCTGTCCATGGCATCAATGCAAGTCAACAATGGTCAAATATGACTTTTAAGATGTCCCTTTTGACGTGTTATGGAGGGGGATGAAGGGAGATGATGTGTTCAGGGGGCGAGCTACATCTCCTCTTCTCCCCCCCCATACCCCCTACCACTTACTACCCACCACCACCTTCCATAATGCAGATTTCAAGACGGCAACTTGTGGTGCAGAAAGAGGTGGATGACGTGCTAGGAGGAGAAGATGCGTGGAAAAATGTCGACAAAACAGAAGGTGAGGATGTACCAGAAATTACACCGCACCTACCTTTTATATGGGATAGGAACCACGAGCTGTTATGTTTCGGATTGTTTCTCATCCTGTTTCCATAATTATGGCTTTGTTTGCAGCCTCATGTCCCAAGTGTGGTCATTCACAAGCATTCTTCATGCAAATTCAAACCCGATCAGCTGATGAGCCCATGACTCTATTTTACAAATGCTGCAACATGAGGTGTGGTTACAGATGGAAAGAAGGCTAGCTGCTGTATAGAGTTTCTGTTTTATGAAGTGTACACCCTCGTTGTAGCACCGTTTTACGAAGAATCTCATTGGGTGCTGATAGGACCCGAAATCCGCGGACACATGAATCGTTGAGCCAATCAAACACACCCCTCGAAACACTCGGAATATCGTGCGAACCCGGCTACCCATGCGCTTGTTTCGCCAACATAGGTGATGCGCGAGCCTGACGGAAGACCTGCGTTCGAGCCGAACGAAGCCAAACCAACATGTGGCTTAGGACGCGGCACCTGTTTTCATTTTTCCAGGATCGATCGAAGGAGGGGATCGATGTGCCGCTTATACAGTGCATTGGCGACGTCGTCAATGCATGGTATCCGTTCTTCGCATGACTTCGAAAATGTACAGTACACGGGTACCCAAATTGGTGGCACCTGCAGCTCGCACGTTCGATGTGCCGCGGTGCACACATCGATCGTGCTTTTAGTTTGGCGGTAGAGCACATCGAGCCACAGGTGACAGCCGCGATCGATCGGCATCGCCCACGGTCGCAGGCAAAAAATTCTCGAGTCGTTGCGAATGAAATTGCTGGGCGTCCAGCCACGCTCTGCCCTGATTGGCTGCGCGTTGCAGTGTGTTGGTGTATTCGGCCTGCCCGATCCTGCAATTTCGATCCTGGCACCTATAGATCGATTTGTCTACCCAACTGCAAATTTTCAGTGTGGGCACATCGGTGTGCCGATCGATGTGTCAGGATCGATGTGAGGCCCCGATCCTGGCAAAATGAAAACAGGTGCCGCGTCCTTAGGCACACCAAGGCCCACCGAGCCAGCGGGGCCGAGCCTCCACACTCAAGCCTCAGGTTTCACACAAGCCTAATTCCCAACCTCCGCTAACCACCAACCACACTCCAGACCACACTCAGCCCTACATCCCTGATTTGTCGAGAGCAGTTCAAACCATGTCGTTATTTCCGGACCTCGGCCTTCCGCTACTTTCGATCTCGGTGCCCTTGCCCAACTTCTCACCCGCTAGGCTCGCCTCCACCTGCGCTCCGTAAATACCTTGGCGGCTCTGCAGCAGGCCTGTCGAAGTGTTTGGGACCAACACTTTGAGTTCTCAGCTGCTCCAATTCTAGCCCTGATTTTCACGGGCGCAGGCCGAATTCAAAACTTAAATCCGGGCTTCTTGAAAACATGTCCTTTGCCCTCATAAAACAAGGTTTGTGATCCTATTACTTAGCAGCAGAAAGAGGCACACCAACTAAACTACACGCCTACCGTCTCTACATCGTCAGCAAATGTATCGCAGGCAAAAAATATCTGGGGGAGGGCAGGTGGGGGAGGCAGGAATTAGAATGGGGAGTTCTTCGAGCCAGAAATCAAAACTTGGATTCAGGGGAAGGCCCAAACGGAGCCCTTAACTGTCACGGGTGCCATGCGAATCTAACACTTGAATCGGTCTAGCTGCTCTGAACGTAGTCCGGAATGTTCAGGGCATTAAGGGCAAATGCCTTTACTTCGACAGCCCTGCTCTGCAGGCCGGGGGGGAAAATGGGGAGAGCTTTGGCCAGAAAATCGAATGCCCCTCGGCGCAGAGGCAACTGCCCTTCTTGATTTCGCCCCTGCTTCTTCCTCACATCGATGATCCACTCTACTCATCCCATCCCATCACATCCCATCTCATCCATCCATCCATTCCATCACCGCAGTGGCACCCCAGCATTTCCAGCCAGAGGCTCTGTGCATGTGGCCCAGTGTTTTTTGACATCGATTTCTTTCCACAGGTCAAGCGCATTTTCACACAGCCGCAGTTCAAACACTGCTGGTTCCTCCATCGATTCAAGAATTTCGGAGGCCCCATAGCTGTGTTTTGCGACATCAGTAAGGACTCCGGAGGAACCATAGCTGCGGAGCCACCGCCATCGTGTCGAGTCGGCCGGATTCCCTGCCGTCAGATCTCGCGCTGATCTCTTGGTTGGCTTCTCTTCCGCAGTCACGCGCGCATCTCGTAGCGCATTGCACGCGGGCGGAAATATGGCGCGCGCGCGCCGATCTGCGCCTATCCAGGTGCTGTTCGTTCTTCTCGCGCTTCTCGTCGCTCCATCGCTAGGCAAGACGCCGTCGCCTCCGCCCCCCAAGGCCTCCCCTCCCCCCCCCAAGGCCTCCCCGCCTTCTCCTCCGCCAGTCGCGGCACCCGCTCCGGAGCCTACTCTTTCCCCCTCCCCAACCCCCGCGCCGTCCCCAACGCCCGCACCTTCCCCGACGCCCGCGCCCGCTCCCGCGCCCATCACTCCGCCCATTCCTCCCCCTGTCCCCGCCCCACAACCCGCGCCCGCGCCTGCCCCCACTCCATCTTTACCCCCCGTTCCCCCGCCCGCGCCACCCCCCGAGATCGCTCCGCCCACTCCCGCCCCCGAGATCTCTCCGCCCACGCCGCCCCCCGAGATCTCTCCGCCCGCCCTGCCCCCAGTTATCGCTCCAGCTCCTCCGCCGGAAGGAAAAAATCCTCCGCCGGAATCTCCCCCATTGGATTCCGCCCCCCCGTCGGAAGCAGGGGCGCCGAATCAGGACAGTTTTCCAGGGGGGGACTTTCCGGCGGACCAGTATATTCCGCCGGATGACTTCACCGCATCTTCCCCATTCAATGTTGCGCAGTCGCTGACTCCCCCGGCGCCGCCGCTGCCGCCGCCTCCGCCCACACCCGCGCCGCCCGCGTCGTCGAGCGGACCGAGCAGCGGAGTGATCGCGGGGACGGTGATTGGAGTGATTCTCGGAGTTGGCGCTCTGTCGTTCGGTATCTGGATCTGCGTGCAACGCTCGCGAAACGTCGCTCGCTCGGCAGGGCGCGGCGGTTACGGCGACGTGAACTTGTAACTTCTTGTTTCGCTGAGATTTCGCGGCGGGTAACGTGGATCACGAGTTCTTCGCTATTAGCCGAGTCGTTTGGTCGCATTGTGCTCGCAACAGCGACTTGAAGCAGAGTGAGTCGCAGTGTTGTTATAGCCGGGTTGTACTTTCGTTTGGGAGATAAAACGGCGTGAGATCTGCTAGTAGCGAGTGTTTTCTCTAGGGCATTAGAATCATTTCAATGGCTTTAAATCAAGGTGAAACTATTTCAAGTGTTTCTCAGTCCTGACTTCCACATTCAGCACGCATTTGGGTAAGCAGGGAATTGTCACAGGCTAAAAAAGGGCACAAGATGAAACAACCCATGCCAACTTGAGTTCGCTAACCATTGGCCCATCCTCCGTCTTCCACACCTTCCCTATTCCACACTCCCCATACTCCCCTATTCCCTTCCCTCTTCCCCCACTCCCCTCTTTCCCCATTCCCCACTCCCCGTCCCCTCTCCTCCATCTCCCCTCTCCTCCATTCTCCTCTTCCATCCCCACTCTCTCCCCTCGCCCCCTTTTCCATCAAACCCGCTGTTCTTCTCCTCCCCTCTCTCCTCCCCTCCCCTCTTCCTCCCCTCTCTCCTCCCCTCTCCTCTCCTCCCCTCTCCTCCCCTCCCCTCTTCCTCCCCTCTCTCCTCCCCTCTCCTCTCCTCCCCTCTCTCTCCTCCCCTCCCCTCCCTCCCCTCTTCCTCCCCTCTTCCTCCCCTCTTCTCTCCACTTTCCTCCCCCTTTCCGTCCCTACTACTCCATCCCACCCTCGCCAGCCTTCACTCATTACCCTCTTCTTTCCCTCCCACCTTTCCTTCCTCCCTCCCTCCCACCGTCCCCTCCTCCCCTCCCTCCCTTCCTCCCCTCTCTCCCTCCCTCCCTCCCTCCCTCCCTCCCTCCCTCCCTCCCTCCCTCCATCCCTCCCTTCCTTCCTCCCTCCCTCCCTCCCTCCCTTCCTCCCTCCCTCCCTCCCTCCCTCCCTCCCTCCCTTTCTTCCTCCTTCCCCCCCTCCCTCCGTCCCTCCTTCACTCCCTCACTCCCTTCCACTCTGCCCTCCTTCTCTCTCCCCCCACCGACCCCCCCTGCCCCCCCCACCTCTCTCTCTCTCCTCTCTCTCTCTCTCTCTCTCTCTCTCTCTCTCTCTCTCTCTCTCTCTCTCTCTCTCTCTCTCTCTCTCTCTCTCTCTCTGTCTCTCTTGCCTTCTCTCATATCTCGTCACCTCCCTCTGTCCCCTTATTTTTATTACTTTAAGTTGTGTAACCTGCTGCACTGAAATGATGAGCGCAGGCATGGGTTTCACCACACATGCCTAGCAAGGTTCGTACCATGCAGATAGGGCAATGCTGTTTGTACTTAGGCCGGTTACACTACACAGTCACCAGCTTGGAATGAACACTATAGCCCATCAGACACTAGTCTTATGTACAGCAGTTTCTGAGACGAAGTGCGATCCCTTCTCAACATGTTCGTTTATGGTCAGCCTTTTAGTCTTCTCAGTCCCTTCCTGACCATAAATGAACATCAGCATAGCCCCTGCAACGTTGACAGCAGACACCAACAGATTCAATGCCCGGTGCAATGTTGGCTGAGTGTGTAAGAGAACAACTTGGCAACAGTTTTGAGTGAGCCTTTCAGTAGAAAGTTACCTCTATTCCTATTTCCGAGACTGTTTCACGGCAGCGGCACTAAACCGTATCGGAGCATGCTTTATCGAGCTCAAAAATATCATCTACCGCTTGCGTGTTTCGCTTCACAGCTGGCAAACATTCAGTGGACGAGACGGCTTGGTTTTGCCCGCAACGGACAACGAAACCCAGCACCTTTCATGTGTTCCCACGCTGTACTGTAGCATGTGGGCGCCTCAGCAAGCCATCACCAACAACAGATGAAGGCGGGATTTATTTGTTTTATACCATGTAAGAACGCTCTCCACCGAATCAAAACAGTTAAAACCGAACTGTGGCCCTGCCCTATTGCGTTATTGAAGTATGGGACGTGTGGCGGCGGCCCATACTCTTATTTTTCCCGTCGAAACAAACTTTTGCTAACAACCCACTGGGAGGTGGGACAGGGTAGAAAGTTCCTAAATTATTAGTTAAAATTAGGGAAAGTCTATCCCAGCTCCTGACTTTCAGT